TAACCCAGCTATAACCCCACCATCACGTCCAACTAGCGAAGCAAGGATGAAGAGACCAATTTTCCCATAAGTTGTAGCTAAATTCCAGTCTGTGAGGCCAGTGCCATAGGAGTTGCAGAAGGCAAGGGCCGGAGCAAGGACATATGAGCCTAGAACCAAATACCATTTGAGAGGTGGAAAGATGATTGGCATTGTTGCTGTAGATATTGCAACTAGGCCCACATATCCTGCACCTGCAACCCACGTTGGTATTCTATCCTTTAGAAATACCTCTTCCCTCTTTTTCTGCTCCAGTGTAACTTCAGAACTGTCCCCGTCTGCTTAACACATATCAACAACTATTAGTCTTCAGGTGAAAACAGGTTTCCTTATAATTAAGATACATGCAAACTTTAATCAACTCATACTATGCCAAGTGTGAGATGCTATCCCCTCTTTCTTTCTTTTTTCTTTTGGACAGGTTATCCACCAATATCTTCTCACAAAGCAATACTAGGATAATACATGTAGTCATACAGAAAATACTAATAACAATATGTCGCAAAATTATATTGATCAGAAATTTAACCAATAAAAGCTGCCTTGACAATTAAAATTAAAATTTATTTCGACTCTACTGAAAATGCCTAACACATCTGAATACAATAGAGAACCATAATTTTAGTTCCTATATCTAGCAGAATAAACTGCATGTGTAGCAAATACATAGATTTCTTCAGCCAGTTATATTCTTATGCCAGAACTAGAATAGAATAGATTACTCATATACAAACACTACTACAGGAAGAAAAACATACAGTTCAAACATCATTGGAGTGAATACATGCCATCCATATATGGAGTGTGAGGAGTGACAAAATGAAATTGTAGAGACCATACAAAGACTCACCTAAAACCTCATTAACAACAGGAAGGTTGCTCTGTTTGCTACTCTTATTGCATATTTCCTTGAGAGTAATGGTTATAATCTTCACCAAATTGTAGAGACCATCCCCTAGTATGAGGGCAATAGCAATAAAGACCTGCAAACAACACAATGGGTCAGAACATCACTTCTGGAGAAAATTCACATATATGAGAGAGGATGACCAAAAAATACCAATATGAGAGAGAGAGAGAGAGGATGACAAAAAAAACCAATATGAGAGAGAGAGAGAGAGAGAGAGAGAGAGAGAATGTGTGTGTGTGTACCATGCTTCCTTACTCTACCTTTAGAGGTTTTTCATAAGAAATGCAACAAGATCCAGGCTACAAAAAGTTACACTAAACTCATGTAATTAGCCTGAGAAATCAAGGTAGTGTGCCCCAAATGAAAATAATTCCATAATACCTTATATCCATAAAGACCTTTGAAATCATTACTACCAAGATCCGCTGGATACCAGTCCCCAGCATATTGTGATATTAATGGCCAAAGAAAACCCCATGATAAGATAGCCCCAAAAAGAACTGAGCAGTTGACTATGTGAGAGCATATGAGACCGCATCCAACATAAGTTGGACTGAAGTCAAAATAAAACCTGCATGAAGCAAGTCACGTAAAACATCAACAACTTCACTGTTATAAAATATTGTGGATCTTACTTAAAGGAACCCTTTTATGCCACTTCCAAAGAACTTAACAAATGAAATCCAGGTCAAAGCCCAAAAGAACAAGGGGTGAATGCGTGTGGAAAGAGAGGGAGGGAAAGGGAAGGGTTGGGAAGGGGAGTGAGAATGAAGAGAAGATTCATGAAGAAAACCAAAAATATAATCGCCTTACGTGTTCTTAAACAGTGTCAACCCAAAGCTAGGAAAGTTGTCAAATCCGCATGAATCTCCTACACCACTAAAGAACCACTTAAAGCAGCTCCAAATTAAACTTATACTTAAATACTTTCCTAGAGCACGAACTTGCTTCCTGCAAAAATAAAACTATGAAGACCATTAGTTGGAAATGAAGCATCCATTTTAGTAAAAATGGCTACAAGGGGCTTAAGGAATTATTAAATCTACTTTTTTAAGGGGAAAATAAAGACCAATTCCAGTGGTGGCAAAATGGACTGCTGTTGAACATATCATAAAGTTGAGACATAGACTTTACCCGGCAAGCTCTACACCAGTGTTAGTGTGAAAACTATTTATCAACATTGCTGTGGCTGTCCCACTGGGATACGTGAGTTTGTAGTCCATGACCATAACCTGATATCATATGAATAAAGATGTGATAGGATACATTCGAACAGTGAAAAGGCTTAGCCAATGAATACACATTAGGAGACAAATGTTTCTGTCAAAGGGTCTAAAAATTACAACATTATATACATTGAATCAGACATGCCAATAGCAAATTAAAAAGACAATTCCATAGATGTAAGGGCAAAACACCAGGAGCCAACTTAAGTCACAAGCAACAGTCACTATTAGTATTAGCTCAAAACGAAACCCATATATATGTAGCACCGAAAAATTATCCATATCCATGAAGTAAGTAGTTACCTTGCGAAGGGGAACAAGACTAAAAAGGCCAAGGAAGCTGACAACAAACATGAAACCAGTCATCCACCACAAGCTTGGATTTTTAACATCTTCTGCCCGATTACCAGGGTAATCAGCACCAATAAGATTATATGTTCGCTCATCCATTGCAATCAGATAGGAACCGAATCCCCCTGCCAATTCATTTCACATTTATATGATTACACACCAGAAAGAAGAAAAACATTTTCATCATAATGTCCATATTAGCTATTAACTAACAGGAAATGGAGAGTAAGAGCTATATATAATTGGATAAAAAAAACCCATTCACACTGATTAATAGCTATTTAGTGACAAACAGAACACAAAGCAATTATCCAAACAAGAGAAAGAGAGGTTACCGCTAAAAGCGAGGCCATAACAAGCAACAACGCAGGTCTGGATGACGGTGTTTTCTTGCCTAGTAAAGGGAGCAACAGGAAACCCTAATTTGGACAAGAGGCCAGTCCAGGACTTGACGAAGAAGAAGCCTAGAAGCCCAGCGCCGACATTCATGGACGGAATAATCCCAACCGTAAGATTGAGCTTGTGGGTGATGATGCAGAAGAGGGTCCCCAACAGCGCGCTCACCACCATCGCTCTGAGCGTGATCTGGTCCTGCCATTCGGGGACTTGGTCATCATCATCGACAGACTGAAGGGGCCTGATCTTGTCCGAATCGTGAAGCAATGGCTCTGATATCTCCACGGACGCTGTCTCGGTTCCCATGACTGTGATGAGCTTTTGAATATTCTGGTGTCTATTGTTGGAAAATGAATAGGGATTTCAATTTCAATTTCAATGAAGGTCAAGATTTATATTGTTGACATTTTTGAGATGCGTTGTGTTATGTTGTGGGCAGAGCAGAGGGATGGGCTGGCGTGTGGAGCAGACGTGCAGACAGATAGGTAGTTGGAGTCTTCCGGGGAAGGAAAGGTAGCGTAAGCCTTTTGAAAGTTTGTTCTAGTCAATTTATCCAAACCAATCATGACGACGCGGGTAATTGTTTGGTCCACTCAAATTATGCCACATGTCTCGCCGTTATATTCACTGTATTTTGTTATAAATTCTGAGTAGGTTCACGGATAATGCAGACTAAAGAAATGGGGAAAAAGAAAAGAGTTATTTACACTAATATTCTCTAAAGTTTTCGGTGTTTCCACAAAACTCTTTAAAGTTTAGAAAATTATAAAAATGCCTTTTGAGATTTCAAATTGTTTTTATAAAAGCTATTTTCGTTGATTGTTCATTTAAAAATTGATGATTTCATTGAAAAAAACATATGCAAAGGACAAAATTAACCTCAATAAATGTATGGGCAATCTATTCTCGAATGCTAACTTTGTCATTTGAAGAAATTTTATATAAAATCATCAGTTTTTGGACAAAAAATCAACATAAAGGGATTTTGTGAAAATAATTTTAAAACCTCAAAGAGTGTTTGTGTAATTTCTGAAACTTCAAAGATTTTAGGGATTTTGTGAAAATATCGAAAACCTCAAGGAGATAGTGGTCTAAATAACTCAAAAAGAAAATTAAAGAAACTGTATAAATAAAATAAAATTACGGCACAGTGTGTGAGGTAAGTGTAACTTGGCTGAATGACCGACTGTCAAGGAAAAGATTATTATTATTTTGGTCAGAACTGTCAAGTAAAAGATGGGATCATGGGATGTGGTGTTGGCCCATTGGGCTATTACTACTTTGCTCCGTAACAAAAATGTCACCCTCTTCACCTTGGAGATCCAAATGCAAGCTTCGTCAACCCCCTTATCTCTTAACTAGTCCAAAAGATGAGTCAATCCAATACACCCTCCTATTTTTTATAAAACCAAAACAATAAAAAAATAAAAAATTGTTATTATCACTTTTTTGTTGTTGGAAGAGATGTTTTATTATTATTATTATTATTTTAAAACACTGTAAGAGTGTACAAAGATAGCACTGAAACAACCAATACTATCCAAAACCCAAACATGAGAGACATGAACAAATGTGTGATCTTTAAAAGATTCGTGTTTGAACAACTTAAGGTTAAACAAATGTGTCATCTATTTTTTATCTTATTTTTTCATTAGAGAGTAGTGTTTGATGATTATTTTACATTGCCAATAACAAAAAAAAAATCCCAACTTATCAGAGAGATATAATGCCAAGCATTTAAGAAATGCAACAACCATGAACTATTTATCCATAATGATAATGCATCTAGAAACCAAATTGGTTATCTACTAATAAAGTATGCATGATGGATGGCTCAACTGCTAAAGGAGAAATAGAGGAAATTAGACCCATACACTTTACACTTGTTTGATGGGGGTCTTATCATTTTGAAATAGCTCCATACAAATAAGAACCAACAATAATTAGGGTGATCATGTAATAACTCCATACTATACAAAAACAATAATGAAGATAAACACATATTCCAACTGCCCAATGAGAATCAGACCCAAAAAAATAAGAAAACAAAATGCCGAATACGAAATCTAACTCACATGGTCATGGATGCTTGTGGTGGATCCTCCTGCCGAGAATTTTGCTGAGTTTGCGTTTGTTGTGGTGGTATATGGAAGGTGTCATGGATGGTGAGTGATTCTCTTCTCTTTGTCTTTAGTCTTCCACGACCAAAAGTGGCAACTCTTTCATATTCTAGCTCTTCGTTGGTTAGCAAAGAATTAGGATACCCCCAATCCAAGCACCCGATTTGAGGAGAGAGATCTCCCTATTGGTTGGAATTTTGATAGATCTTGTCTCAATTAATTAATTAATTCATCATGATCGCAATTATAGAGTAGAGGGTGACTCCTTCACCACTCTTCCTCTTCAACATCATTTCATGCAAAAAGGAAACCAAAACCAAAACAAAAACAAACAACAGAAACAAACAAAGATGCTATGCCAGTTCCACTTGTTGTCAAATTCCGCATTTGCTTGCACCTTCGTAATTTTTTACTTGCCCTATTCTGCCTTCGGAATTCTGCCCAACAAGTCCTTTGCATGCATAAATTCTGCAATAGTAATAATTCAAGTGACGCAACATAGTCTAATTGTATGCATTCAAAATTCAGCCAACTGCATTTAGCTCACAGAAAATGAACAAGCATTATTAGCCAGTAGCACCAGTAACCATACTCGAGAGACAAGCATGCCCTGGAAACGAAATTTCTGTAAGATTCCAAACTAAGTATGCTTTGTATGTACTTATCTACATGCACCATTAAGAACAGTCGCAGTCGAATATCGATTCCCGTCATTAATAATAATAAAAACAATTATTCAATAGCAGTTCTTCAATGCTTTGAAGCGAAATCACAAAATCAGTTTACATGTATAAACTATGAATATACTTTCTGCCCAGGATCTCTTTAGTACTTCATTTGTCTTGCGTAATTATCAAGCCCACTTGTAAAAGGAATCAAAGATGGAGGCATGCATGCATGGCTTTGTCTCTAAGCCTACGGCAGCATTATCCTTCCCAAATTACTCAACTTCGAGAGATGAGTAACGTTGTGGGGTATGCTAATATTTCTGGGCCAGCAACCTTGTCCTGGTGCCTCCTCCATCTAGAAGATACTTAGACATGATAAGTACAACAGTTGGTCAAATCTAAACCCCTCTATAGCTATTAACTGTCCAAATTATACCTGCATGAAAGGTTTGGGCTAATATAAATAAAAGAGAGAGAAATTAAGCATAAAGCAGAGCTGCATCAATGTTGTTGTTTAAGCAAAATGAGTTTACCCCTGTCCTGTTCATAAATCACAAGTCCATTTATAACTCATGGATCCTACATGAGATTGTAACAAGTAAACGCTAATTCAACTTCTAGAACCTACAGCAGGCATTTAACTTTTCAGTTTTCAATGCAATATTGAGCAGCTTTCATCGTATATGAAAATATAGTACAATGCTTATCTAAAGCTTTCACAATTTAACCAATAATCATATTTGCAGCAGCATATATAAAACATCAATGCTTACTTGTGCAACCCACCTCAATGAAGCACAAATACGCATTATACGCATAAGAACAATCTTATAGGTATCCAAACCACCCTTCAATTTGTCTACATGATTTGGTCTTGATAAGAACAGCCAACCACAATCTTGTATCTTTCTAAATGTCTCTCTACTCAACCACCTCAGACCCTTCTAGCAATGAGTGACTTCCACCTCGTTTAGAAGTCATAATGAAAAGATCTTATTCTGCCACTCTTCCTATCATATCTTTTTAAAGCCCATCTTCCTTGCAAACTAAACCTACATCTATTTTCTATCTTCAATGTTTACTAGAAAAATATAACATCAAGCCCTTCGACACGAATGAAAATGAAGGTAAGTGTAAACTCTTACCAAATTCAGAATAAGAGCTATGTTCATTCCTTTAAACTTTATTTTTGCATTCCATTCATGCAGTTATTACAATGGGTGCACCACAAATTTCGGCACGGTAGCATTGAGCCTCTCAAGGATCTCAGTATTGGTATTCCTACTACTTTTCAGTAATTTTCTTCTTTTTCCCCACATCTTAAATAATGTTGCAGCCAGACATCAGTCAAAACTTTTAATTCGAATAAATCAGGTTACAAATATTAGCATAATAAATCCTTGATCATAATATACAACGCTGCAGTCAAGGCTAAGAATTCAGTTCATATTCCTTGATCTTAATATGACACTGCAGAACCCCAAATTGTCTGAGGCAGCCAATCTCTTGTGGACAGTGTCCACCTGATAGCTCTCATTGGCGAATTATGTTGGGACCACCAACCACGTTGTACTAACTAATGAAATTACTCAACCATCAGAGAGACCAGTTTATTACAGCAACAATGCAGCCACTGAGATGACTTGATTATATACACAGATCAAGCCATTCTTCATTTGTTATTTTCACACATGTCCTAATTCCTTTTGTAACTAATTTCAGGGGATCCTGGTATTTTCCTTTCAGCTCAGCCATCAGTTGATGATCAACATTCCTATATGAAGTCAAGCTTTGGCTCCAGCTATGGATCTACATCCTTGGAGCCCCCTAAAAGGGACCAAGAAAAATCTTTTTCTGAATCTGAAGCCAATAGAGAAGAAGAAACATCTGCTATTATCTCAGAGCTATTTCATGGCTTTCTCACCATTGGAACACTTGGCTCTGAACCAAGTATCAATGAGCCGGAAACACCAACTTTTGCAACAACTTTAGAGAACTTAAGTGAGCAAAAAACAGAAGTGACACAGAATGACTTGAAGCTCATCAGCTATGAGCTAGAAAAGTTCCTTGAGGCGGAGACAAAGGAAGAAGGGGTTCATGCATCATCAGCAAGGAACAGTCAAGCTAGCACTATTACACTCAATGGCAAGCAAATGGAGGAATCCGAAGATGAAGAGTACTGGACAACAACTGTGGTATGTCCGCTCAAAGAATATCTCTTTGGGTCCTCAATTGAACTACCAGACACAAGAATAGAAGCGAAGAAAGAAAAGACATCACTGCAAGAGCTGTTTGATAGGACAAAGATGACAACTGAAAATTGTAAGGAGACAAGTGAGAGTGTGGATATAAAATCCGAGCATAAGCATACATCTGCCACGCAGTTCATGAAGAAGATCATTAAAAAACTCCATGCTTCTTCGAAAAGCTCTGCCCCTTGTACTGGTGGTGATGTAACTGATCCTGTTTCCACCAGGAAGAAATTTGGTGAGGCATCTGATTCTGTTTCAACCAAGAAGAAACCCCATAAGGTTGGGTTCCTACAACTAGATATTCCCAGACCCACAGCTAAACAGCACGTCTGATGTCTCTGCATCACACACACACACGCACACGTGTACGTAGATGTGTACATACATACATAAATACATCATTGCATTGCAATGATTGTATCAGTGCTATCCTAGATACAGCTAAGTCAAACACAAGAATTTGATGCTATCAAAGATCTGATTTTCAGCATCTAGACCAAAGAAACATTAATGGTGAGAGATCCAATGGTTGTTTACGGTTTTTTGCACACACAAAGGATGTGACCCTGACACCAGAGATAAATTAATTGTGTGAACCAAAATGTAGCATGAAAATCATCCCTGCTAGCATGCTTAGGTCTTAGGATGTGATTTATACACTCAAAAGAAGGTGTTGTTTCCAAGTTACTGATCTCTGTAAAACCTAGCATCCAGCCTCCTTATTTATCCAAACTAATCAGTAGAGTTTCCATGAGATGTCTTCATCAGACAACAATCTCTCTTTTAATAATTTGACGAAAACCACCAGGTGTTGCCTTCACTTAGATTTGGGAAAAGAAAAAAGTGGATAACACTTCACATTCAACTTTTTCGTTTCTTTTTGAGTGGCATGCAGATCTTACGTATGTTCCATAGAAGGATCCATCCTGAAAGCTCTACAGCTGCAAGAGAATTTGTCGAGGCCGAGAAATACAAGGACAAGAACAATTCCAGTGCCCATGGTGGTCGTAGTGAAAATATGATGCTCATGGGCAGAGACAACATAAGGTTCCCTCAAGGGGCAATGATAAAGGAGGGGACTGAACATTGTAAGAAATACATGAACTTTCCCCAATACAGGCTGAGTGGCAGCAATTTTAGAAGAAAGGGAGAGCACTGGATTAAAACAGATGCAGACTGTAAGTATCACTTTATATCCTATACCATGGAAACGTACTTTGATTAGTTCCCACTGGGTCTGAGAAATCAGATACAGAAAACCTAAAATCCAGGAGAACAAAAAGTACAAAATACCCAACAGAAATTTCATACTCTACCATCAGTCTTCTATGAAAAATTGAGTCTATTATGAAGTATAGTCAAGATCTGCAAAATTGAGTCTATTATGAATATATTTAACCACTTCGTGCTATTTGCATTGCAGACTTGGTGTTGGAGCTGTAGGAATAGAAGTTGCAAGAAAAGTCAGTGGTCTTGATCCTTTCTGAGACAGAATGCCAATGTTGTGTTTGATAATATTATCTTTTCATGTACTTATTTATGAGTGATTGAGTGTTGATGAACTCAAGAAAAAATGAAAAAAGACTAGAAGGTATTCATCTCTCCTCAGTGTGTTGATGAAGTTGTGACTTAGTTTTATCTAAATTTCTTTCCCAATCAATAAAGATTTCAATTATCTACAAGTCTTATTTGAATGGTCGAGACTTGAGAGCCATTCTCAAATTTCTTGAATAAGTATTCCAGTTACTAGCATGCTATATGGTGTATCCCATATTTTATGAAACCAGACCCTTTCTTTCGTTGCCTATTGTGTTGTTTGAACATCATATATTCTTATCAGACATTGAGGAAACTTGATCTTAGTCAAAGAGGCGGATATCAACAAATATTCTCAAACATCACACCATGGTTTCACAATTGGTTATCCAAATTTAATGCATCAATTCTTAGGAACCCACTATCCAGGCAAAGCACTACTGTTTATGTGCTACATGGTTCAAAGTCCAATTCAAATAGGTAGCACCATAAATTTGTGGACATGAGTGTCAGAAGTAAATAAAAGTAAAGAGTCAAACCTCACAGCATGCCATGTTGAGGCAGCACCATCTTGCTGAAATCAAATCGGTAGAAGCTCTTCCCTAAGAAACCCACCCATCTCCATCCTCCAAGATCGATCAACTATAGCTGCTAACTCTCTGAAAGGCCCATTATAAGTTCCCATAAGCAGAACACAAAATGTATAGAACAAGAGGAAAACAAGAGACCAGGTAATACAGTTCGTTTATAATTCCAAATGGGTGAAGGGCCTAGGTGGTAGATTATGAAACTTGCCAATGCTATTAGTTTTAGGAAAATAAGATCACCTTAATCCAAATACAGTGCATTTTAAGCTGACTTGGTATGCCCTTTAAACCATTGCAACAATAATCATTAATGTTTTATACCACTCGGAAACTGAAAAAACATTTGGTAATGTAAATGTAATTCTAAATTAGTCCATTGGCTTTCAATTACAATTATATGCACATTGCTCAACAAAATACTAATAGGACACATTACAACCTTGACACCAGGCTCGCACTCTATTTTGCACAGGTTTTATGACTTTGATACCAGGCTCACACTTTTTCTTCTAGTTATGCACAAAAATTTCTTTGCAAAGTTAAGAAAGTTGCTACATCTTGCACCTCCTTTTCTGACAAGAAATAAATGTAGAATCTTTCTCAACTTCATAGAGCCACATTCATGTCCTTGTTAAAATGCAAACATTTAGGTCCATATATGATAGCTTGCAATACTAAAACTTTGAATTTATCAATTTCATAGAAAGTTGAAGTTAATCTCTCACTACCTAGGTCACTAAGGCAATGCACCAAGTGAAATAATGAACATATAACAAGTGAACAACAACAAAGAATCAGAAGTTAGAACCAGGAAACAAAAAAAACAGACTTGAGATCATGGCTGACAACAAGTATAGTCAATTCTTTCTTTAGATGCTTTAGAAGCTTTACAACATCAGCACGTGCCTTCCAATCTGATCAAAACAAAAGTTTATATAAATATCAAATAAAGGATCAGAGATATAACCCTCCTCCCCAGCAGGAAAAAAAGAAGAAAATGAAACAAGAAAAATAAAAAAGCATGAGCATCAATGAAACAATTTGGAGAATAGGAATTCTCAGCAAAAACAAGCAAACTTATGACAACATTTTCCAGAGAAAAACTAGAATCCAAAATTTTGAAGCCAGCAGCCAAGCACAACTGGTTAGGTCAATTTGGTTCGGTCACTAAGTCCACTGGAAGTTGGTTTGTATATAGTGAATGAGAGATCAGTTTGAAAGTGAGTGTAAGAGAGAATGCCTCTATTGGTTGCCAGTGAAAAATGTTTCCTGGGTAAAGCATAATGGCATTCTCAATGCCTGATTGTTGAAAATAGTTTTCCATTAGTCCAACTTGCATGGAAGGAGCAAATGAAACCAGTAATGAAGTAGAACCAAAGGCACCAAATTCATCTTCTTACCAAGACCAGCAAGAGGTTCATCCAATATCAATAAATCAGGGACTTGCACCTGAAGATTAAGGTCAATTGACAAGTATGAGTGACTTCATGCCAAAGTGATAACCAGCTATATAAGACTGAACTTTACGAAACCACATAGTTAAGGTGTCATCTAATATGTATTACATTGTCAATTTGGTGTTTGTGATTGTGTTTAAATCGAAGTTCTTACTAATTGAATTGCCAAGGCAAGCCGACGTTTGTAGCCACCACTAAGGGAGTGAGGATCTCTATCCAATGAGATCCCACTTAAACCAACCTACAGTCATCAGTTGAATTAATCATCTTTTAAAATAACCAAACCCTATAAATAGTGAGCATCAACGAAAAAAAATGCCAGAATAAGTAGAAGAAAATGTTCGTGTTGGGAAGGGGCACAAGTACCCAATTGATTGCTCGTTGGAGTCTTAGAGCAAGATGCTCCTTCATTTGAAGATCACCCTTTTGTCTTGGCCACCCAAATGTAACTTCATCAAGAACATTATCTGCGACAAAATACCTAGCTTGAAAGGGGACATATTATCAAAAACTTGGAAATGGGAAACCAAACAGACATTACAGAGACTATGAAGGATATGGGGGCACATTACTGTAATTTAAGAACATAAGAAGGTAATACACCACGATCAAAGGCTGAAAATTAAAAACCTTTTGACACAGTGGTGATTAAGTTCCAGAAATGTAATTCAAACAGAAGATGTTGGATACACAAACTTGGTCAAGTACTAGAAAAAAGGTATATTTCCAGTAGAGCAATGAACATACATTTTTAATCTCACTGTAAGAAAAAAACTTTCATTTAACACATAAGTGTACAGACAAAAATGGGAAACTCCAAACGCTTTACTTTTGTACAAATTCCAATGACTACATGCTGATGTAACTCTCAATATATGCAAGAGAGAACCCCAAACCCTTATCATGATTTATAGAGACTGCAAACAATTTTTAGTTTCTTAACTAATATTCAGTACCTCTCTGGAAACTGAAATACAATGCCAACTCTTCCTGAGGATAAGGGTTCAGGAGACTGAACTGGATTGCCATCATTTCCATATTTTTGAATGTAAATTGAACCTGAAGTTGGTTTGCTTATCCCTGCAAGAAGCTGGAAGAGGGAGAGGAAATCATATACAAGATACTGCTTAAAAAGAAGATGGATAACATAATGAGTAAGAGTTCCTTCAATAACATTAACACACAACCTGCACAAGAGTAGTCTTTCCACTACCACTCCGTCCAAAAATTAAGCCAAAGCTGCCAGATCAAAGTGAACAAGTTATCCTAAGAATGCAAAATCTGCTCCACCCATCACAGAATATGTGTGGTCCAACCCAAATAAATATCTGACAATATGTGAACCAGTTCATTGCATCTAACACATCCTTTGTATGGTCTGATATAAAACAATCTGTTAATATATCTGAGGCAGAGGATGATCCATGACAATATTACCTCACAGAGGCATTCCTACTCGGAATCAACTAAACCGAATTTCAAAAGCTTGCCAGAATGAATGTGGTTTGCATGCAACTAAAGATTGACTACCAGACCACAAATATGTACCTTTTCTCCGGAAGTGAAAAACTAACAGAATTTAAAAGGCTAAGCTCGGTCCCTGGCGGTTGGTAGCTAACATTGCTAACCTGTAAAAGTGACAGATTGAATACTTCAGCTGTTAAAACTAACAGACTGTGTTTTACTTTCACAAAACTTAAGTAAGACAAAGATTCACAAGCTTATGAGCCAATGATCAAATCTGAAGGAAATGAAGCCATTACTTGGAAAATTAACCAAATTCTATGGACAAGCCATAATTATACACATTGCCTACCTCACTGTGAATGCTTTCAAAATACTGATCAAGAACTTAGCAAAAGGAAAATTATAATAAAATTAAAGAAAATCGAAGTTGGAAAAGGAAACTTACTTCAAAGCACGAGTGCTCGCATTTGAACTTTACAGAGTGTGAGTTTCGGAAATTCGAACTGTGAAAACAAGAAAATCCAATATAATCATAGAATTGTGAACACTATACGTCAATAATGCATTGGATAAAATGTGATATGAGAAGGTCAGACAGACTAGACGCTTGCCTTAAGCGTGATTTGGGTGCGATTGGGGTTACTGGTTCGCGCGCTCTCCGCCCTGTTAAGGGGTTGAAGGCGAAAACGGAGCTCGCCATGTTTCGCGGTCTGCGGACTGAGAGTGAAACAATACAAGAAACGGAAAGGGTAGGATGAGGAGGTTATTTGAGGAGGTGAACCGTCAACAACAAAAAAACAAAGTACATCGGTGCATTGGGGGCTCTATATCCCTTTTGATGGGTCTCCTCAAATAAACTCCTTAAATAGCATCCTCATTATAAAAGCTCCCAGACAAGAAAGACAAAGCACTCATGGATTTGGGCTCTGAAGGGCTTGTGGCGGGTTTGGGCTTTTTTTGGGAGGGTGGCCTGAAAGCCCAGGATTTTTTTTCAATCGGTTGAAAAATCGAAATTTATAGTTAGGTTAGTTGATAAAGAAAAGCGACATGCTCTGGAAACCCATCATTAAAACGTTTGAGAGTTGCACATATATATTTAACTTGTATTTCTTTTTCTTTCATCCTTATTTCACGTGTTTTTTACGAAATTTAAGAAGTATTTTCCTTATTAATTATTTTAATTGATTATTAATATTATCCAAGTATTTTAATTGGATATCAATCGTCTGATAGCGCGCAGTTGTTGATCATAAATTAATAATTAAAATTGACGAATTAAACAAAGAAAAGGGCTGACATGAGTATTTCACGAAACTGCCATCCAAGATGCGTAAATGATAATATACAAAGGGCAACCATGTGCAGCTGTATGAACTAAGTAATATAAAAGTGTGGTGAAGAACAAGAAATGGATTGGTGGTTGTTAAGCTCATAATTTCATACATATACATGCCCTATTCCATCTTTTTCACGTTTTCACAACACGGACGCTGACATTGTACTAGCACACTCCTCATGGCAAAGGGCAGAACGTGTTTTTAAGCCCCAACCAAATTAAAAGGTTAAAAAAAGGAACATCAATGTGAACAATCCGTCCCCAACGAGAAAGCATCAATGTCTACAAACATTACCCTAAGAAATGAAATATCAATTGAAGTCAAGTCAAATCAAAGCTAAGGACTCGAGTTTGATTTTAAGTTTAGGATAAGAACTTTACGTATGTCATGTGAGAAAGTTAAATACATGACATTGTGTAATTGGTTCAAGACATTACCACAGTGACATATTTCCGATATAAAAAAATTAAATACATGAGTATTTAATTCTAACTCATTAATAATTCAAGGACTTAGGTGTGGGTCCTTTTTGCTTCAAGAATGGGTTTGAAATTTCCCAAATTCATAAATCTTCGCAGGAAAACTAAGAATTATAAATAAACTAATCAATGTAATCTTTTTGGAACGAATAATCAATGTACTTAGTTGTAAGTTTTTTATTATTTTTTGGTCAAAATAGTTGTGAGCTTTTACTTGTTGGTGCCTTTGTCCCCCATTTTTACAGAATCAGAAACTACGTCAACTCGTGGGAAGCTCCCTTGTCCTTGGCAATAACTTAAATAGCAATTTGTAGTTTGACTGAATCCCCTGGTGGTCCGTCCTTCCTTTCTTTGGGTCAATAGGTCAAAAGCCCACACAGCCATCCATCTTCAACAGCCTTGACCCTTGAGGAAAAGTTTCTGTGCAACTTCCATCACAACCACCACCACAATCATCAAACACTGCGAACTTACCACTAGACAGAATCCCACTTTTCCACGTGGTATGCATAACTTATTTAACATTTACATAAAAAGTATTAGAATTGTTTGTCACTTTTCCACGTGGTATATACCACTTGTCACAAGGGAATAAAAATCTCATTAATTGATTATTGGTTGCTTCAGAAGAAGTTAACTTAGGACAGCTGTTATATTTTTGGCTTGACAGCTGATGTGATCACCGTGTTTCTTTCTTTTTTGCGGTGAAATCATGAAATTTGTGCAGACGCCTCAGAGTCATGAATGAATCAGAATTACGATTTCAATTTGATATTGGCAAAGCTCTGCATCTCAATTCCCAAATGAAAGAAAGCTATATTTAATCTTTAGTCAGCGGGAAGAGACTGACCCGCTCACTTTTTTCACTAACAAGATTCAGAGCAGACTTTTCCTTTTCTTATTTATTACACACCACACCACACCACCAACCCTTTTAATTCATTTCTGGATTTAGTTTTTGAGTCTAAGGGTATCAACTTTAGATACCAACTTTTTTACCGTCTCTCTAATAGAGTTGTAACCCACCAATATAACGAGTCACACACTCTATTAGAGAATGAGAACTTCTATATAAGTGTATTAGTCAAGTCCTTGTTCAATTAGAAAATGGGGACTTCTCCTGGGAAGAAGGTTTTGCTCACCTCCAATGGTCACTATTAGAGAGTTGTAACCCACCAATATAAGTGTATTAGTCAAGTCCTTGTTCAATTAGAAAATGGGGACTTCTCCTGGGAAGAAGGTTTTGCTCACCTCCAATGGGGATGACATTTCACACAATATTGCCTTCTCTTTGGCCCAGCGGGGATGCAGGTGAGCTGAATTCCCAACCCCCTTACTTTTTTTCCCCATATAAATTCCAATGTTTTCATCTTCCCTTTTTTCTTTTCAATTTCTTCAATTAAAATTGTCAATTTCTGAATCTGCTCGTTTCTGGGTCTCAATTCATTTGGGTGCAATTTGTGATTGAACGGACAGATGGGTGGTTCAAGATTTCTTCTATGTATTATTAAATGGTTCCTTTTTGTTTTTGTCCTTGGTGCTTTGCATAATCAGGCTGGTCTTGATGGGAAAGGAGAGCTGTCTGCGGAGCATTCAACAGAAAATAAAGGGCTCATTGGAGGGTGTCGTGCCAGTTGAGGTGGTTGATGTAGACATGGAGGACGAGAGAGAAGGAGCTTTTGATGAGGCAGTGGATAAGGCATGCCACATTTTGGGCAATTTGGATGCCTTTGTGCATTGCTATACTTATGAAGGTACGCAATCTGTACCATATATATACTTGGAGAATTCAATTGCTGTGTACAATTTGGAATGAACAAGTTGTTGGCATATATCTTTGTTGGGTTCTGGGTTCCTCCTCCCTTGCTTTTGGCAATAATATTATAACTTCAAGCCACATACATACAACGGATAAGAGAAAACTGGGGAAAACACTTGGTATTTGAAAATTGTATTAAAGTCTCTAAAACACTGTTTGCCATGCGTGACTGGGTTATGGTCAGCAATAGCACAATACCTATGTGGAATTGACTTTATGCAAATTGACAAAAAAAAACGGCAACAGCTTTTTTTCTGGAAGATATTCACTTTTATTTTCAAAGGCTGATGAACTGATCTGATTTCCCTTTCTTGGGAATATGTTGATCCTGTGTCAAAACATGTTAACAACTTCTTTTATGGACATTCTTCGTCGATTTTACTTTCCAATTTAGTTTCTATCATTATTTTTTATGTGCCTATGTAAAGGTTGTTGCAATTTAGTTGGACATAAGCAGAATTATCATTTCTGATGTTTGGAACAGGGAAAATGCAGGAGCATCTAGAATTAGCTGAAGATGAGTTTAAAAAGATAATGAAGAGGAACTTTATGTCTGCATGGTTTCTGTTAAATGCTGTTGGCAGAAGAATGCGAGATTATAAGTCAGGAGGTTCCATCATATTTTTGACCTCGATAATTGGAGCTGAAAGAGGGATTTATCCAGGAGCTGCTGCCTACAGTGCATGCTCGGCAGCCGTGCAGCAGTTAGCTAGGGTATGTTATTTGGATTCATGCATGCATGCATGCACATACAATCAACAAGTACACTGCGGCTGCATATGTGTTCTGAGTACCTTAATTCCACAAATGAACTTTTTTAATGTCAGGAATCAGTCTTTCAAGGAAAGCAACTATGTCAGCCACTCATGTTTGAATACACAAATTTGAGTTTCTCTTGGTTTATTAGCAACCTTGAATTTACAGGTTTTTATGTGAGTGATTTTGCATTAGGTAGTGTGGTGGTAACTTGCAGAAGCAAAAGAAGAAATTCTGTTTTAGGAATTAGCATTCTACGGTGTTGGTTATCCAAAACATCTCATAGATTTCTTGAGTCCACTCAGCTATAGTAAGCTAGCAGCATGTAGATCATACTACACCTGAATAAGAATTCCCCAGTTAACAGTTTGAAGTCATTTTATATATGCTTTGAGTCATGCGAGGTGAAACACTGAGATGAATCATGATTTTGCTTAATTTCCATCATGTCTGCTAGTTTGCTAAGATGGTTAACAGATTCAGAGCGATTGTTTACCTGTTGGATGGTCATTGTGTCAATTTAAGAAAGATAGTGCAGGGATAGAAGTAACAAAAAGTAAGTTACCACATTGATGAGGAGAAGTCTCATTGAGTTCAATGGCATTGGTATATTGGAAATGTTTGAGCATAGAAGATGTAGTTCTATGAAAAAGCATGGGATGGTGTAGTTTGGTTTTCTATATAATACCTATCACTTCAACCGCGAAATCTGAGTCTTGCGACTACTTTGTTGGGTGGATTTGAAGTACCTTTGTTCCCCATATCGGTCGTACACTTTTAGGTGTAGCCTTGATGTAAGGGCCTTCTGAGGTCTTGCTCTTTGGTATTTCCTAAATTGACTTTAAGTTAGACACCTGAGGCATAAGCATTGCACATATCTCTGGTGTTGTGATTGTCTTTTAAGGTTACAAGTTCATTTTAGTGTGTGTCGTGTACTTCTAAAACTTAGTACATTTTGAGCTGCTTGTTGCATATGTCTACAACTTCTAGTATATTTTTCATTTATCTTTTATGTTTCATTTTCTTTTTTATCTGAAGTTGAATTTTGCATAAAACCTTTTGTCGCTGCTATTTTCAGACATCGGCTTTGGAGATTGGTAGATACCAGATTAGGGTCAATGCAATTGCCCGTGGTTTGCACCTAGAAGATGAATATCCAATGTTTGTGGGTATGGAGAGAGCAAAGAAGTTGGTGAAGGAGGCAGCTCCATTGGAGAGATGGCTTGATGTTAAAAACGATCTGGCTTCAACTGTCATATATTTAATCAGTGATGGGTCAAAGTACATGACAGGCACAACCATATTTGTTGATGGGGCACAGTCTCTGATGAGACCTCGGATGCGCTCGTATATGTGATTCTTCTCGCTGTTATATTTTGCCCGGCCATTAGTTGATTAGGTCTGCTCATAGGTCGATTAGCCGATTATGTTTCAGATCGATTCCATTTTACTCAGTATAACAGGGTCCACAGTAAAAGTGTTGATCCTGCATTCAATCAAGTGCAGGAATTGAATGAGCACATCATTTCAGATAAACTTTTATTGTCAAATTCTCTTCCTTATGAATCACAAAAATTGAATCAGTTCCCTTGCAAAAAAGATGGGCATAACAAATCTGTTGGTTTGATATAATATATGCGATGAGAATGTCTGAACAGCATTTATTTTGGGATGGAAATTCAAATGGGCTTGTCTTTTTCTCGCCATGCTCAAGGTGTGAGCAGAGGTCGATGCATCAAAAACTTTAGAATGAATGAATATACTATTGCCTAAGAAAGTTGTTGTTCAGGTAAAAAGTTGATGTTCAGGTAAAATTCAATCAGCAGAGCTGGTTTTCTTTGCTAAATGGGTATTGGACTTCCCATTATGAACGAGTCAAGGAGGTCGTGATCAAATGATTGAAAAAGTGACACATTTTCAAACTTGAATAGAAGTTTGATTGATAGGTCTGGCATCTTTCTCTTTGTCTATGTCCTAAATGATAGGGTTGTATACGTTTGTGTTGTGTAGCTGATTGTCGAATGAGCAGCGCCCACACCCACCGCGCGCCGGCCCACGTCAAACAATCCGAATGATAAACAGAGCACACATGAACTTGAATTTGTGTGACAACGGACAGATACCAAATCTCGTATTAGAGGGCAATTTTGTCCACAAGATTAATCCCTTGACACAAACATAACTCATGCCTCAAGTTTCACACTATCTGTATCATCAAGCTTCGGCGAATTTCGTGGCAAGTCGTGGTTCAACAATGGCAACTAATATCCTTTGGGTTGGGACATCCACACATCCACACATCCACACATCCACATCCCAAATTTAAAAGGGGGGAAAATGGAAATCAAGAACAAGGGTGGGGTGCATGTTTGTATGTAAGAAATACAACAGTTGCTGAAACGGCTCTGGTTTAGTCTTGTAGGTGAGGAAGGAAGAGAATTTAGTCCAACAATTGGTGTCTAGCATATACAAACACTGTAACATATGTAATGTGGCGTGAGGCTGTTTGCGGAGAAATCACCACCCATTTCTTTGAAAAATCCAACGAAAAAGGTTTTGCTTTTCAAATTTATTAATTATTATGGAGGGCTGCGGGAAAGTCTCAATCCGTGAACTTCTTTTTCAAAAATTCAAATGCACATGTCTCTGTATTGTGACTTTGTCTTGGACCAAACTTAGCTAATATAACCAAATTTTATGATAATCAAAAAGTCTCTTTAAGCTCATCAAACTTTTTTTTAACTTTTCAAAATAATTTAGTAATCAAAATATTATTCTGAACGATCTTTAGGATGGCCACCATTAAATATAGTGTTTGCTTCTAACATGCATCGATGCATGCTATGAAAGATTAATGTACTGCTCCAATTTGATCCATATACATATCTCACTAGGGTGATGCAAAATGAGGTTGTTTTATTTTAATACAAGCGATAATATTGGGGAAGAGGGAAATCAAACTTAGGACCTTGGATGCAGGGGTATATGCTAGCTCTTTAACTACTTGACCTACATAACCTTTGCTAAAATCAGGGTTAATAAGGCCAGATACGCACATGATTAATGAATGGTAGCTAGCAATTTCATGGAAACTACGGGTAAGGTGGTTGCACATTTTGCAGACATGCACTACAAACCCATATGCATGCATCAATTCAAACTCCAATATGAAATAAAGTCATGGTCAGACCAAAAATAAAAATAAAAATAAAAATAAAAGATATATATATAGAGTCCATGTTGGACGCGCCACAAATTGTCCACACATGTGCCAAGTCGACTATATGTATAAATTTATCACCAGTCCAAAGGCGACTGCTCTTAGTCTACGCATAGCATGCATCAGCACCAACTTTTACAATTAAACTCCCATTAATTTGTCATTTGTGTGTGTTTCTCGACCACAACGAAACCAAAGATATTGTTTCACTCCACCATTCAAGTATAATTTATCTTAATTAAGTAATGAATCGTAGATTAGCTAGTCATAGACTCATAGTGTGGCTAATGATGAAGCCGCCTCCACTATTCCAATATATCAGCTGCCTCCCTCCTCCTCAGAGTCAAATAATATGGGTAGAATATTTTCAGATATATTTCATTCTTCGAAAGGAGGTATTTATAATACAGGTTACAAACCCTAGTAGGGTTTAATTAGGAAATAAGTGGAATCCTAATTACATAATATCTACACAAAAGGTAAAATAAATAAAACCCAAATAGAGAATAAAGTTGTGGTCATTTATCTCAGCCGCCTCTAGCTAGCTGGCTTAGTTTCTTTCTTCATATGGAGAAGTATCAAATGTTCTTTCCTTGCTCCTCTTCTACATCATCAGCAAACTATGATCCCATGATCCCTATCTCTGCAACAAATAATATTACTACAGATGATCATCATATGGGAATGGGAAGCTCTCAAGTTTACAACTACTTTGACGGCCGCGATCGAAGTTCAAATGGACTTTTGGGGTTGAGATCATCAGCAGAAAACCATGTTGGGAGAGAAGTTTTGATAAACAAAGATCATCATCAGTACCTGCAGCAGCAATATTCTGATCTGACTACTACTGCAAGTGCAAACATTAATATTAATAATGTTGTTGTTGGAGCTGACCAAAATCCTCATGAGGCCACTAATTCAGGAAACAAGAACAAGGGGGAGAAGAAGACGAGAAAGCCCAAATATGCTTTTCAAACAAGAAGTCAGGTTGATATACTTGACGATGGCTACCGGTGGAGAAAATATGGTCAAAAGGCGGTCAAAAACAACAAATTTCCCAGGTATATGTATATATATGCTTCGTTTTTCTTCATCTTTTCATACTACATAATATATATGATGTGATCACTTGTTTGTTTTTCATCCTAAATCCTTCATTTTCTTCTGTGATTTCGATGACAACGAGTACCAGATTTGATCTATTATAGTACTAGTATGGTATTAGCTAGCAGATCCCACCATGGCCATCCATAAACACGTGTGGCTTTGCAGAAAAGCAAGATCTTAACTTGATTTTCCACTAGGAATTGAAAACAATATCTTTGTTAGATAGAACTTCACAATTAATGCATGGCCGGGGGAGAAATTGGGGTTCTCTTCATACATTAATTGCATTGCATTTGCATGCACCAGGATTTTCATTATTGTTTCTTTATTTTACTTTAATTAGTTTCTGGATACGCTTCTAAAGCTTTCAATTCTAGGTTTTTCTTTCTCACTTTGAGATCTAGTCTTAGGGTTTTCAGCTCGCTCTCTCTCTCATGGCTTAATTGGTTGTGAATACATTAATAAAAACTCTTGATCCATGCAAAGTTTTCCTAATTAGAAATATGTAATTTCATATTTACTGACCTTATGATGCAATCCGCAAATCAAACGAGCCCTAATCATACGACCACATCAAAATAGGACCTGATTTTTGAAAATCATACATAGAGAGACCACATCTATGTCAAAACTCCAAGATATAATTAAATCATATTTGCCCTAGACTGAGTGTAGGTTTAGTTTTCCATCTCCACCCCTTTTGTTTTTTCAGTTGTAAGTTTCTTGTTCCTCTCTTTTTAGAGGTTGAATGATATCGATCGAAGTGTGCTTTGATAAAAAAAAAAAACAGTCACGATCGATCCTCAGCGGTCTAACACTCAGATAATCGTCATCCCTGAAGCCAATTAGATTTTTGCTAATTTTAATTTGGTTCTAGGAAGAGTGTAAGGCGGTAAGTTAATTGATTCTGCAAATTTCAATTCCTAAACAATATTGTTTGTAAATTAACACATTTCTTTTTCTGAATTATTCTACACTTAGCATTAATTCAAAATGATTACATATAATGCATGCATGCATGGCAATGATGGCATGGTTTTGCTTGTATATAAAAAATATGTTACGAGTGAAAAACTGAAGCTCTCTCTTGTTAATTAATTTGGTGCAGAAGCTACTATCGATGTACGTACCAAGGGTGCAATGTGAAAAAGCAAGTCCAACGCCTAACCAAGGATGAAGGCATTGTGGTGACTACTTACGAAGGGATGCACACCCATCCAATTGAGAAGCCTTCTGATAACTTCGAACATATCTTGAATCAGATGCAAATCTACACCCCCTTCTGATTCTGAAGCATCATCAAATCATCATCAATGCAGATATAAATTAAGGAAATCATATGCATGCAGCATGCTTTTGTAAAAGAGAACAACTCTTCTAAACAAAACAGATATTATTTCTCTACATATATGGAAATAAGTTTGTGCTATATATATCTAATTCATCAAATTACTTTTATTAGTTAGAGCTGTACTGAAATTAGTTTTGTGCTCATGGCATCAATTGATTTAAGTAATCTGGGTTTTTTCTTTTCCTTTCAATTAAGTCTTTATAGTTTTATTTCAATGAGAGGTCTTTGCAGTTAGGTTTTATTTACAAATTACATAGTAAAGACAAATTAAAGAGTTCGTCAATTAGCGCATATGATATGTGGGTTACGTTAGTTGATCATGGCAGTGTGCCCACCTATATTACAACTTGGTTTGAATGCCTTTAATATCCCAGATAGAGGTGTCTTACCAATTGACATGTCTGCCTAACTATAGCAGATTGATATAGATTCTCTAGTTTGATAATATTGATTGTGAAAAGAATGTAAACCATAGGGACCCGATTAAAAAAAATTTAGCCACAAGGATCCAATAGAAAAAACACACTATTTATTTTTATTTTTATTTTTTTAGAGGAAAAAACACACCATTTCTAAGGAGGACTAAGTCAAGTTTCCTTTCTATTAATTTATATAGTGATAGGATTAATCGAATATAGAAGAACATCCAAATGGACCGGCTGCTTGGACCTCATGCCCCTATTGAACGAGCCCTTATTAGTGGGTAGGGAGAAAGTTTGTATTGGGCCTAATAGTAATACTACTATAAGGGATGTACCGACTTTGGAGACCCACTTCACTATAAATTTTAGCCACAAGGATCCAATAGAAAAAACACACTATTTATTTTTATTTTTATTTTTTAGAGGAAAAAACACACCATTTCTAAGGAGGACTAAGTCAAGTTTCCTTTCTATTAATTTATATAGTGATAGGATTAAAAAATTTAGCCACAAGGATCCAATAGAAAAAACACACTATTTATTTTTATTTTTATTTTTTTAGAGGAAAAAACACACCATTTCTAAGGAGGACTAAGTCAAGTTTCCTTTCTATTAATTTATATAGTGATAGGATTAATCGAATATAGAAGAACATCCAAATGGACCGGCTGCTTGGACCTCATGCCCCTATTGAACGAGCCCTTATTAGTGGGTAGGGAGAAAGTTTGTATTGGGCCTAATAGTAATACTACTATAAGGGATGTACCGACTTTGGAGACCCACTTCACTAATTAATTACGAGATAAATGATTATGGGTCAATCCTCAACACTTTTCTCCCAAATCGGGAGACAATAAAAGCTTGATTAGGATTGAGGAATATAGCCCACATTAGGCTTTTTATGAATTTTTTGATTTTATAAATATTCTCTGTCTTTTGAAAAAGAAAAAACAAACCTCAAGATGTGGTGTCGGCAAAGTGCAATCTCAAGTTGGCAAACAATCTAGTGTCTCAATAACAGGAGTTCGAATCCAGTTGGGAGCACTTTGTGACAAGGACAAGCAGAATCTTGAGCGGGGATTAATTTCACCCTTTAAGTGTGGGGACACCTCGTGATATTTACCCATAAAAAAAATATAAAAAAAATAAAAAAGAGAGGAAAGAAGTAGATAAGTATGATATGATTATGAGTAAATCCAATTCTTTTAATCTTATGGTGCTAGTAGTAAGAACTTGAAAAGTATTATCCACCTGTTAATTCCCTTGATTATATAGTATGAGTAATTCCATCATTCTAATAATAATCTTTCCAATATATTATATATATAATCAACTCACAACGAACAAGATTTTAAATTTTTTGACTCCTTCAAGGTATCAAATACAGGGAAACTATATATATTTGTCTGCTTAAATTATGGTTATTAGACCACTTACATGAAAAGAAAATTAATTTAAGCGTAAGGCGTCTACCGTCTGGATAGACCAGACCAAAGTCATTCTTTTATGATTGTCGACAACTAGACATCCCTATGGACTAGTGGTCTTAGTTTAATTTGCCATTACATATTGAACCCACCAAAATTTATATATATTATTCTCTCATGCATATATATGTATATGAGAATTTCTATAAATAGAGAGGAAATAATTCGTGTATATGAGAATTTCTATAAATAGAGAGGAAATAATGTCTGCACGTACATATATAAAATGAGGTATTAAAACGCCAGAAATTTTTTCAACATTAGAATGAAGAATCACTAAAATGAGCTAATTGATCAAATTAGGAATTATATGACTTTTTTTTTTTTCATACAATAAAAGATGAGTGATTCACACACAAATGTTTTGTTTTTCAATATTAAAAACAAGTATAGCACTAAACTGAGTTGATTGATAAATATCATAAATAATATGAAGAGATTAGGAAAGAAGCAGTAGTGGTGCGCCCAATTCCAATATTAAAGTATTCCATTAAATAAATAAAAAAGCAGTGGGGGGCAGCAGTGATATTAATTCAAGTGTTGAAAATAATGGTGCTTATCTTGGATTAAGATTTGTTATACCATATTTGGGATTCATAATGGATCATATATGGAAATCAAATGGATGGAGCCTTGTCATGACTCATACTCGTGGGAGGGAATGACATAGAATACAGATGCTGGAAGATATATATATATGCAAGGATATATGGAGGATGACGTGGCTGCCTTCTGGGTTCGCTTCTTTTGAGTACTTTTTCCTCCATGTTGATGATTATAAAAATGGTGCAACTGTTTTGAAAAGTTGAAAGTAACAATACCCGTCTCTTTCTTTTGCCATTCGTTTCTCTTTTCTTTTATTATCTTCATTATTTCTTTTTATATACTTTTTTTTAATTTAATATATGTATTTGTTTTGCACTCCTCCTAATAATGGTTTACCAAATTTATAAAAAAACAAGCAGAAAAGAAGAAGGAAAAACTAGACAAAACTCTCAGCCTCAGGTGGTCCTTGCTGGATTTATCTGCTCTGTTTCTTTCTAGTGTTGTTAACAATAACAAATAACAAATTAGCAATATGGGGCAAAGTAATTAATTTATATATATATTCCCTTTCCCTCTAAGAGAGTGTGAGTGGAGGGGTTGTGATTAAATTATATTTGTTGAGCTAGTCATTGATTCCTACTTTGAGTTTACTTTGCAATGAATCCTTTGACCTTCCTTGTTTTGGAGGGAACAGGGATAACACAGTGCTGCTGCTAATTATCTTCAACTCAATTTCTCTGCAAGTTTATGTGTTTTTCTTCTTCACTGCCTAAGCCTTGTCTGTGTGTGTCTCTCTCGTCTCTAGGAAAGGAGGAGATTAGAGAAGAAGGCAGAGTTTTTGTTGTTGTGGTTATGGAGTGGGACTTTAAGGACTTTGCTTGTTGGGATTCAACTGATGAGCTGGAGTTGGAGTTGGAGTTGGAGTTGGAATTGGAGCAGCAAAAACAGGAACAAGATAGTGACCTTGCTGCTTTGGTTGGGTCCATCTCACAACCCCAGAAGAAGAAGAGATCAGCAGCTGCTGGATCTTTACTAGTTGATTTAAACTTGTCTGATTCTCCTCCTGCTGTACACATGTTCAAGGACCCAATTAAGCCCTCAGCTGTGGCGTCATCATCGTCACCGTCATCGTCACCATCATCTTCATCATCATCATCCAAAAGGGTTAAAAGTAATGGAACTGATGAGCAGAAAGCGTCATGCTTGGTTCAGGATTGCAAGGCAGACCTCAGTCTTTGCAGGGAGTATCACCGACGCCATAGAGTCTGTGAGCTCCACTCTAAGACCCCTGTTGTCACCGTCAGGGGTGAACAAAAACGGTTCTGCCAGCAGTGCAGCAGGTTATATTTATGATCAATTCTGCAATCACCATGCTTTAATCAATTTAGGGTTCTTTTTCATTTTTATGTACAATTTGTTAGGAAGTGAGCTTCTTTCAATTTCAATTACAATTACAATATTTACATGTGATTTTTCATCAAGTGTTGTAGATTCCATTCTCTGGTGGAGTTTGATGAGGTGAAGAGAAGCTGCAGGAAACGTCTCAACGGTCACAACCAGCGTAGGAGGAAGCCTAAACCAGAGTCCCTCTACTTCACTTCCAACTTCCTGTCCGGTTACAAAGGTATTAACTGTTTTTTTGTTGTTGTTGTTGTTGCAGTCTACAATTTGATTATATCCAGAACTTGTTTTGCCTAATTGCAATCAACTCTTTTGTTTAGAAGAACCAAACTGAATTGAGACAGTTCATTTAGCTTTGATAGTATTCACAATTTGACCGAATTGGCAGATCATAATTTTGAAGAGCTTGCCTTGCCCAGTTAACTTTTCAAATTATCAAACTATTGATCAAGAACTGCTATGCTAGAATACCCCTTTTCTTCATTCCTTTGGTAACCAATTCATATTGATTATGGCCTTTGATTATGGGATTGATATGCCTTCCTAACTAACATCCAGGTCCCAGAATCTTGCAATTTAGTAACCCGCAGATATGTGCAACCAATAATGTGAGAAGTATGTGGCCTGTGGAAGCCAAAAATGGAGCAGAATCCATGCTTTACAGCCGCCATCCTTCATTCAATGGAGGAGATAAACCATTTCTTTTCTTGCAGACAAATAATGACCCTAAAGCTGCTTCAGGCAACCGGGCAGCCCCTCAAACTTTCTTGCCCCAGCAGCCATTTCCAACAACTGCTGCTTCACCTGCAGAAAGCAGAAAGGGCGGTCATATAATGTCTTCTGATGGTATGACTCGAGTCATCGACTCGGGTTGTGCTCTCTATCTTCTGTCATCACACCCAGCACAAGCTTCAGTGACACAGTCCAGTGTCACTACTAATCATCCAGGTCAGCTCCCAGACTCGAGACTACAGATGAACGGCAGTTTTGCAGAATTCTCATGCTCACATGATGCGGAGGACAAGGCTGCCAATCCAGAAATGATGTTTCTTATGGGGCCTGATGGCTTTTTGGACAATGGGGCGCAAATGCTTCCAATTTTATTGGAGTAGTCTGATGCAACCTGCAGGGCATATGCATATGCGGTAGACTTGTGTTTGTGCTACTTTACTTGTTTATGTGGTCTGGAATAAACATAATCTGGGACAAGTCATCTGCAGAAAATTGTGGGTGTAATGGCTTTGGTTGGTAATGTCACAGCTCTTACCAGATACCAGTTTGTGGTTGTCAAGTATTTGTGTTTTAAATTGTATAAACTAAGTCCTATTTCTTTGCCTCTCTGTTTCATGGAGATGCAAACTTAAGGTTTGAATTCTGCTAAATATGTTGCATTCTCAATTAAAATTTGAAATGAAGACACTCTGTATTTGTGGAGCACTTAATCCCATCTTGAGGAACCAAGTCAAGAGTCATTGTCACACCACCACTAAGCCACCACCAACAATGATGTCCTACTAACCCACTACAAGTAGCGGGACAATTAGGAAAGCAATGGTGCAAAATTAGTCCTAATCTTGTTGAATGAATGAACTCTGAACACAAAATGCGACCGAACCGAAGATATATGAACTCTGAGATGCGTGTGTGTGATATAGAGCTGAGCTCAGCCTTGAAGTCCAAGAGATTTTTCTGGCATCAGAAGATTCAACTTAAAGTTAAAGCCAAAGTAACAGTGACTTGATTTGGAGTGATTGTAATTGGTCCAATTAGAATGCTTAAAATGCTGCCTGATTGATGTAAAAAGCAATTGGTCAGATTATTACATCAATCAGGCAGCATTCTAAGCATTCTGAGTTGGCCAGAAGTTAACCAACATTCCTGAGCAAATATTGAAAGTGAAAGAACAGAATTAGGTTTGGATTCAGAGTGCTTATACGTGAAGTAATCCTTATTTTCCTTGATTCATTGAAAAGTAGCATGCATCTATCAAATCATTGTTTGCTGGTAGTTTATCCTATTTTCATACTGAGGGAAAACACTCAGTCAAATAGCAAGCATATTTGATATATTTCCAACAACATTAGGTGTAAAAGATGAAATCAGGTTTGACATCAATCGGAAAAAAAATATCACTATTTTAGTATTGACTTGGGGTTTCTTTTCTGTACAGCATTTGCAACTTCCCTATATATATACATACATAACAAAGCAAATTAACATTTCAAAGTCCAAGCCATTCTCTATGCTAAACCTTCTCCCTGCTATCAGTTTCAACATCTTCCTCTTAAGCCATACACTCTACTTTTTAGCTTCTGATTATTTCATCTCTGTTTTCTTTTGTCCGCTGGATCAGTGACAGATTAGCATTTGCAGTCATGCATCCACCGATTCAGGAGTAAAACTTCCATCTAACATGTTTTATACCGTTTCTCTCTACCGATGTGTTGAGAAACATAAACAACGGTGGATGAAACATGGGATATTCAAGTTTTGCAGCGCATTCAGGCTATGGTATTTTCCTTTTCCTGCTTGATGATTAATGTCGTTAATGTTGACTAGTTGTAGCATTTTGGTGGAATGATGATGTTGATGTTGGCGTGGCTCAATCAAATCAAACTTCTCAACTGTTAATTGGGTCCTTTAATTTGATTGAGCCGTGCCAATATCATGTTCAGTCTCCAAAAACTCATCAACCAACAACTTTTTTTTTTGTTCCAAAAACTCATCAACCAACAACTTTAGAAAACACAAACCCATAATAAGCGATAGTTTCCTTGGATTATTAAGGTCGCTTGAATAACACATTGTTGATTTTTCTTTTTCGTGCATTTTCTCTTAGCTTGATAAGATTGTGGCTCATTGTGCAGACGTGGGTTAGACCAGTTGGTCAAGATAGTGAATTCGCCCTCTTACACCTAAATTCGAATGTAGACCAACAAGAAATTTCATCGAGCTCGGGCCCAAATCCGCCCCCTTTTCGTTGATTGTTCGTCCAAAACTTCTTGATTTTATTTTAAAAAATGTGTGCAAATGACAAAATCAACCTCAATGAATATATGTGCAATCTAATCTAAAAGGCTAATTTTGTCATTCGAGAATTTTATATATATATAAAATCATCAATATTTTAATGAAAAATCAACAAAAAGGGGTTTGTGAAAACAATTGAAAACCTTAGGGGGTGTTTGTGTAATTATTGAAACCTTAGAGCATTTTGTGAAAAAACCGAAAACTTGAAAGGGTGTTAGTGCAAATCAAGGTCTAAAATATCGATGATATAAAAAATATCGGTAGTCCAAAAACATGGAATTTTCGATGGAAATATCGGGATATTATCGATATCGATAAAAATTGAATAAAAACCACGGAAATTGTAAGAAAAACTTGGAAATTTTTATTGAAACTTTGGAGAATGTTTATTTAGTCAATTATCTATTAGTTTATCACAAAAAATTAGAAGGAAATGCATTGCATTATGGATTTAACTGATTTAAGTTGATTATACAGCGAGCTAGCAAACACTGTGATTGTGAGTGTAGAAAATATGTAGTAATTAATGAAAAAAGATTAAACACACCATAATAATTTATATATAATGATTTACTACAATATTTTACACTCTATACATTGCATGGTTAGATACATGAGTGACTTAGTACCACATAGAGTTCCTATGAGATTTAAATTTTTCACTATCTTCATCATCTTTATGTGTAGAGTAAGTGTATTGTGAAGAGAAGTCATCAAATGATAAATCCCCAAAATAGTTTTGCATGTAATTATAAACATGCCACCCATATAAATATAAATATTTTAGCATATTATCACAAAAACATAAGTGATATGGTGGTTAAGGTGTTGGATGAGTAAAATGGGAGGGGTTCAAATCCCCTTTGTATTTTTTTTTCTCCTTTTTTTTTTTTTTTTTCCTTTTTATATTTTTTTTCCTTTTTTTTCCTTTACATAGATATTTTTGATATTTTATGGATATTACACCGATATTTTGACAAAATATTGCTGAAGTGTGAGTGAAATTATCGACATCGATATTTTCCGAAATTATCGTCAATATTGTCGATATTTATACGATATGTACATGGATATGATAAGGTAAATCACTTAAGAAACTAATGTAAATAATATAAATAAGATTTCTTCAATTGCCTAAGAATTTTTTTTCTTCGGGTTACAATTTCCATAGAATTTTGAGATCAGCTACCATACGTATACTTCCGGCAAAAACACAAAAGTTGGGGATGCAAAGCAACTACGCCTCTGGTTCATGCAAATATTCGATCACTTTACGCATCAAAATTCGAAAGTAAAACAAATTAAGAGTCAAAGATTGGGAAGAAGGACATATATAAGCACTGGCGAATCCAGGAATTTTAAGGCGGATGCAATTTTGAAATGCTAAAAGTTTTTAAAAAATTTGACAACCAAATAGCCTTATAATTTAAACAATGTCAATTTCATTTATATGTTGAAAACGAAATTGGCGCAACGGTTGATGAAGAAGAAAGAAAAAACACAGCATGTTTCATCTTTTCTTTTTTCTAGATTAACTATGAATTACATTTGAACGTACTTTAGAAGCTTGATCGATACAATATTTTCTTCTTTGGCACAAAACTTAATCGATCGATGAATCAGTTTTTATAAAAACTTGGAGTTCTCTACAAAAAGAAAACAACAATAATGGTTTTGATATTGGCCAAGGACTGAATAAAAAAATAATAATAAACTTATCATTTAAAAAAAAAGAAGAGGAAAGGAACCATACCTAAAATTGCTGAAATTCAAATTTTAAAGCAAAAGCAGGGACTCCATCTCCGTTGAAATTCATATTAGGATTTGGGATAGGGCATCTAGCATGATTAAAAGCAAATTGAGATTTGCTGCATATCAATGATATCACCTTGCACGGCTTCTTCAAATTGGATCTGGCCCAAGACGACGTCGTTTTGGCTAGGACTTTTTGAAAAAAATAAGGCGCTGCGCGCAACCCATCAGCGCAGCAACACAGCCAGCGAAAGAAGAATATTGTTCAGCCATTTGCTCGAGCAATTGGTGGGCAACATAGCAGAGGGGCAACTCTAGCACCTCCAAAGCTTTTTCCAACGAAGAGAGGTGCAGTTGCACTTCCTTGCGCCTCTGTGGGTCTGCTACTTATAAGTCCATGTACGTACAATCAATTGTATATCTAAATTTTATTATATAAAAAACAAGAAAAATGGAAAAATAAATAAATAAATTACAAGAATTCCAACAAGGATTAAAACATCACCACGTGGTATTACTAATTTATGTATTATTAATACGGATATTAGGATGTAATATTAATAAATTTATACATATATTATAACATGAGCGGATTGGTAACACTCTACGACCACCGTGCGGAAGAATTTCTCCACTTGTACGTATGTAATATATTGGGGGGGGAAGTGAGAATAGCGACTTGTCAATCAGGTAGAATATCTTATCCGTGAAAGTTGAGAAATGTGGATACGTTATCGCTTTTCTACTGTCTAGCACCTGTCTGAGTAAAGCAAATCAAGCCAATTTGCAAGTATCCTTAACCGCAGCTTGATCCATCAAGCAAAAGTAGATCGTCAGAGATCAGATGCTCTTTCTGCTGTCTTTCAAGAAGTTCTCCAGATTATAAAACTAGCTAGAATAGATATTTGACAGATATTAACAGATTAACATGTGCCAGAGACTTTGCATTAATTCTTCGCTTCATGAAAATTGAAAAGCATTTCATATGTGACCATGAAAGTGCTCCTGTGGGATCAGAGAGTTGTGCTCCCAGCTACATGAAAATTGAAAAGCATTTCATATGTGATCATGAAAGTGCTCCTGTGGGTACGTTGAAAAAGACACCATTCTTATCCACCAAAGTATATGCTCCTGCAAGTTTGCAAGTTTTACCTTTTTTTTTTCTTTTCCAAGTAATCTGGTCTCTAGCAGCATATGCCTCATCCAATCCAAGTACACAAACAAGAAGCATGAGGTACTGCTGCCTAGCTACTATATATATAGATATATATTCCCTCTGTAAAAGATCATCATCCAGTTTGCATCGTCTTTCCAAGTTCGGTTACTTGACAGATCACAAACTTATATCATCTTCCAACTACTTTATCTTTTTGGAGATGTAGTTTTCTATAATTGGTTTTATTTTATCCTTTTGGATCAAGCGGTGGAAAGTTAAAAGCACTTTGGAACTTGGGGGAATCATCAGCAGATATGATATGGTTGCTGCAGGGCCAATATATATCTGCATTATGGAAAACATGTCCTTAATTAGAATATATATTATGAATTAATTGCTAGCTAATAATGATAGGCTAATTAGTGGCAGTGGGGGAAGCATAATTCTTGCCTAATTCCCTAAATTAAGCCTTTGCCTATATATCTGTCTGTATTCTGATGCTTAATTATATGTCACTACCAACTAATTAATTACTAGTTAAGAATATTGAGGAAAACAGACTAGTCTGCTATTAGTATTTTACATACTGTGCAGCCTAACTCCAAGAAAATGGTTCTCCGAGCAGATAGCTAAATGATTGCGTTAGGCAACGCAGATAATTAATAATTAATTCACAATTATTGGTTATTCAAGTATAATTTATAAAGGCGAAGTTCCTCTCCATATCTTATAAAGTATTTGGTATCTGTTTAATTAAGTAATGCAAGATCGATACATATCGGAATAAATGGAACACATATGCATAGGCACAGTAGACCAAGACTTCAAAAAGATGATGCTTCCAGATATTTAATTGAGGACCACAACACATCCTGATCGATCATTTCTATCTTGCACTCTTTTCAACTTGAGTACAAGAGTAATACTACTATAAAAAATGAAAAAATAAAAATAAAAATGGTATCATACCCAGCAAGTGTTATATATAGAGCCCTCAGTTTGCAGTACAGAGATACTTGCTCCAACACATTTGACATCAGAGCTATAGCTACTGAGAAAAAAAAGGTGAGATTTAAGATTGATGGAGTCCAATCGCAAGCGCAGAGGTTTCATGAAGGGGAAGTTGATGCCATTCTACCGAGCTGCCAAACCTTCCACAACAAGCATGCAATATAGCAGCATGGGCATGGCCAGCAGCAAGGTTAAGCCGAGCCAGGCTTCTCCTAACACAGCCGCTTATTCAGTTGAGTTCATGGACTATGTGATTGCTGCTCAGCCTAATCAGAAGGTTTCATTTATAGTTCCTGCTGCAGACCATAGCAGCCAGCTCAAGCAGCAGTTTGATCATAAACATTACGGTGCGGCTGCAGCTGGTGATGAGAGTGTTGATATGAAGGCTGCAACCTATATTTCATCTGTTCAAGAACGTTTCAAGCTTGAACGAATCAACTCTTGATCACAAGGAAGGAACACGCCGCGTAATTAGCTAGCTAGCTAGGCACTATGTATAATTACTACTATGATCCATCCACCAGTTCCATCTCATAATAAAAATCCCTAAACATCGGAACAAAAAGAAAGAGGCAGGTTTTCATTAATTTGTTTCAATTATATTTGCATCCCCAAATCTAGGACTTAAATTAGGAGTATGGTATGCATGCATGAGTATCATGTTCCACTCAAATGGAGCAATTTGTAATAATTCATTTCAATTTCATACATATATGCACCCGATTATCTTAACATTAAATTAATGTGTGTATAAATTATATGTATCGCAGATGAACTGCAGAACACAAGTCCTAGAGTGAGAGAGAGAACAGTTACAGTTCCTAATTCAATGACTTATTTAATTACACTTCTGCTGCTTCTTTTTTCTTTCTATTTTTCAATGAATATAATTAAGGGCATATATAGATGAGAAGCAGAGTATATAAATACAAAGAAAAATAAATTTTTTAATAACTTTTGGTTCTTATTTCTTCCATTCTCCCTTCTGTCTTGTCTTCAACGTTTGTTATATTTCTTTTCTTTCTTTTAGGCTTTCTCCAACCCATTTGGTTTTAAACCCAAATTTCCCCACTCCAAAAAGTAACCATTTGGGTTTTACCCAAACTCAAACCGTTTTTTCCCCAACCCTTCATACTCAAATTTTAAATCCGCAACTTTATTAAATTGTTTAAGAATGGTTTAAGTCTAATATTTTTTTCATGGATCATTTTTTTTCATTTAATCTTTTTAAATAACTTCATAATTTAATTTTTTGAACAATTTAACCTAAAAAAAATTGAAGTTCCACAAATATAATTGTATTTGAGATATGGGTGAGTATTTATAGAGTTTGGAGTGAGTTTTGGGGTTGGATATGATTTAGATTAATTTAAAATATTATTTGACTGTTGGATCTTTTGTTTTACCATTAAAATAACTTGGATTTAATATGGATCGTTTATTTGGATTACTATTGGAATAAAAGAAGAAAAAAAAAAAAAGCCGAAAGCATCAGGGCGCGACACCTCTCTGCTGCACAGTAGCTGCGAGCCCCATTCACACCTCTTTGCACATGGGTTGCACCAGTCTTGAGTGGGCTCCACCAAAAAAATTTCAGTCCAACTATGCCTCAAGTTTGGATTTTCTCAAATTTTAGCCCCTTACTTTTCTTGAATTAGAAGAAAAATTGGGCTAAAGTTTAGGATTTTTTGGGTTTGAGTTAGAGATGGCCTTATTACCTCATATTTCTCCTCCTCCCTCTCTTTAGTGTAAAATAAACAGGAGAAAATGAAAAAATATGGAGCTCCACCAAGAAATGATGATCCTAATGGTTTATTGTCTTCTTTACTTTTGCTTTCTTTTTTTAAAGTGAGAGAATCCTATAATATTCTCTCCTTATTGGGTTGAGGATCTTATCTCTCTCTATATATATATATAATGAGCTTTAATTGAGGGATCCCTCAAATAACTTATTTGAGAAACACCCTTATAAGACCCACCACACATTATTTTTCAATTATCCAAACCGTCTAATTTTATGAACAAGAATATAGCTCTAAGCCACTATATCTTAACTCCCAACTAATTGTATGAAGAAGAATATAGCAGTCAAGAAGAAACTGCACTGTCAAAATGAAAATCACAAAAAAGAGAATATTGGAGTGGAAGAGCATGAAATAGTTAATGTACGTTTCATTCATTCACCTTTGGTTTACATGTGCCTCCCCGAGAGTTTCTATAATGAGGAGAATTTTAGTTAGGGGGTTGAATGAGGGGTTCAATGTTACCATTCATTCATTTAAAAAGTTTAACTCCAATATTTTCTCTCTCTTGTTGGATAGTGGGATTGGCCCCCTCATTTAACAAAAAAACTTACATTTAACGGGGATAACACTGTTTTGCTATCCCATACCAATAACACAATAACACGTGGAAAAGTTATCCTACGTGTCATTGCGTTATTGACCAAGAATGAGAATACAAATAATTTGCAAATAATTTGAAAATAAACAAGAATGAGAATACAAATAATTTGCACTCTTTCATATTTCCTTGCTAAATAATCTACTAACAAGAATTTTTGGATAAATAAAGAATTTCTAGTCCCTATTGGCTTTCTTTCATTGATTTATACTTTTAGCAATTAAATACTTAAATACATGCACTTGATGTTCATATATTACATAATTTTCATTTGGACTCTTCAGAAACACTTGTAATCAGATTTGGGGCCTTTAAATGCCAAACTATTGAAATTATTCTTCTCTAAAATCATATTCTTCAACTTGGTACATCTAGTAATATATATAAATTGGGGCCTACAAATGCGAGGGCCATGGCCTTGCCCACCCTCAGGGCCGGCACTGCTCACAACCTCCTAATTGATTGCCTATTTAGGCATCTATTTGTGGAAGGCCAGGTCTAGAAGTAGAAGAGTAGTTGAGCTGGGTAGGCAAAAGAAAGAAGGAAAAGCTGCCGCCAGCTATATGGATCCTAAGAATTGGGCCTCAGGGGTATGAAGGCCCATTTAGAAGGGGACCCACCTCTGCGAATCTGGATGGATAGAAAAGGAGAAAAAGATATTTGATGTGTAGATGTGTGTGTATGTTTGTGTGTGCACAAGAGTACGAAAGGTCACCAAACACACCACCACCACCACCACCAACTCGACCGCTAATCCCAAAATTGGATATACTGAGAACAAATTCGAGTTATATAAATTTGGAAATGATGTGGACGTGGGGTGATGGGACATCCATTCATTCATCACACCAAAAAGATTGCGACGTGGACGACCGTCGCTTGCTAGTCACTTACGACTTACCCTAAACGTGGAAACAGGAGAGCATCGCCCCAGATGTATGGTCCCCCAATAGTAAATGAACTATTTTCAGAAAATAAAAATAAAAAAAAGTACAATTGAGTTACTTGGATTTTGGCATCAAAGTGGCAAAAAAAGAAAAAAAAAAGTGAAAGCACACCAGTACATTCCAATGATTAATTAATACACCCTAATAAAAAAAAACAAAACAAAGAGAGAAACGGCTTGCCTTTAAAGATATATAATAATAATTTGAGTTGTGAAAATCTCAGCTGGCTGGCTGGCTTCCTCAACTCACATCTGCCGGTCCCCCTTTTGCTGACATGAGCACCGAGAAAACTTTCCTCTTTTGTTTTCAAACATTTCCTCTTTCGTGTGCGAAACTAATATTTATTTTAATTTTCTCTGTTTTCATTTAATTGATGTTTCAAAAAAGCACGTTACTCCAAATTCCAAACGTTATAACACAACACAAACAAACCAAACCAAGCCAAACCAAACACACACACACTCTCTCTCTCTCTCTGTCCGGTCTACAATTGAAATATCTTTTGTGGGTCGGCTGGAGTCCAACATCTACAGCCTAGATTGGCTACAAGATATACATGTGTGTCATTTGAGTTTGAAATTTAGCACCGTTCAACTAGTACTCTTTTTATTATTTATTTTTAGTATTAATATTGCAGGACAGGGTGAGCGGGGAGGGTGAGGGTGAGGGAGAGGATGGAGGCTGGGTGAGTCGATGACGATGATGATGGTTTTTTATAAAAATATCTGATGAAGGGAAAACTTACACGTGTTGAGCAGAGATTCAGTCTAGTGTATTTGGAGGCATGGAAATCGAAAAATTGGAAAAGGTAATTTCATTAAACACTTACGTAAATGGTAATGGTTTATATCCATATCCTCTCTCTCTCCTTCTCCTCTCTCATCCTCTCTCCCTCTCCCCCCCTCTCTCTCCCTACACAAGAAAAAGAAAAACAAAAACAAAAACAAAAAGAAAAAGAAAAAGAAAAACAATAACAATAGCAATAGGAGGAAAGGGAGTTACCGACTAACTCATTGACTGAGCTATCAGTAGTAGTATTAGTGCTGTGCTGGGGTGAGGAGACGGTGACGATTCTGCTTCCAATTTATAACCCTCTTTTTGTTTTCTTTTCGTTTCTCTTTCGATTTGCTTCCCACAGAAACCTTAGGGTTAGGGTTTTCATCATCAACTACTCGTTTTTACCTATTCTCACACTCACACAGACTCAGAACAGACACAGACAGAAACAGAAATTAAGCGACAATGGGACGAGGGAAGGTGCAACTGAAGCGAATCGATGACAAGATCCGGCGTCAAGTGACTTTCTCCAAGCGGAGGAGCGGCCTCATCAAGAAGGCTCGCGAGCTCTCTGTGCTCTGCAGCGTGGAGGTGGGCCTCATCATCTTCTCCGCCAAGGGAAGGCTCTACGAGTTCTGTAGCGGCGAGAGGTACGTACGCCCCTTTCATCCATCCATCCATCGCACTGTTGTTACTACAGTAGCTAAGACCTTTTCTTCATGTTGTTTCCCACCGCACCGCCTTGCTGCTTCTACTGTTACTTTTTCTTCTACAAAATATCTTAGCTGTAGCTTTCTCCCTATTGGTTGGTCAGCTAGCTGCCTGACTGTATCTCTCTCTCTCTCTCTCTCTCTCTCTCTCTCTCTCTCTCTTCATCATGTATTGTATTGGGTACAGTGCTGCTCTGCTAGGCTGCTAGCTACCATGTTGTAATTAAAAATTATATCAAACATCAATGGATCCACCTTTACTTTTGTTATATTCTATTAATGTATGCATGGAAATGGAAATGGAAATGGAAATGGAATGGAATGGAATGGATGATCATCTTCATCCATTTGTTGATAAGGATGAACCAATAACCTTATTATATTTAAATTCAATTCAATCCAATCCAATTCATTCATTTTTTTACCTTTAATTTGCACTCTTTGTCCTTGCCAATATTGTCCTTGTTCAATTCCATGTATATCCCCTTAAAGTATCTTCCCCATAAATATCTTTCTTTGGCTTTCTTCCTTCATTTACACCAAACTATGGTGTTAATTAATATACATGCAAGAGATTGGATTGGAGCTAATATTGCATCCATCATCGTCCACCGTTGATAATTAAACCCTTTTAGCTACCTACCTATTTACATTTCAGATTGAGGCTAATTAAGATGATCGTCATTAAACAAATATAATCACTTTTTATTTTCTTTAATTACTTCAGAGTTTCTCTTGTACCAGACGCATCTTTGTTTCTTTTTAATTAAAAATAAAAAAATTCGGGTTGGCAGAAACTCTCACTTATTGTCTAGTGGTGCATGTCGCCATACAGTCTACAGTGTCCCGAGAGTAGTAGGACATAGCTAAGTCAATATCTCCAACGGGCAGGGGACAATGTTGTTGGTATGAGTAGTAGCTATATATAATTAATAAGGTGTATTGAGAAGGTGGGTAGTTGATCAGGGCATGCAGTGTTTCTAATCGTGTTCTTTTTCTCTGTTTTTATTGTCAATATTCTTTGGCAAAAGTTGATACTCTTTACCCAAGCTTTAGGAGAATAAGGCACCCTATGCATCAAACAGGAGAGATCAATCGTTGTTTTGGTTTTATTCGTAATAAACTGCTCTTTTTATTTTGTGACTGTTTAATCCATTAGAATCATTCATTTTAGAGAATGTCAAATTAAATCAATTTTAAATCATTATTCACTATATATTGACTTGGTGGGAAACGTATTATTGCCACACTATCTGGCAACTTATAAGAGCTGAACAATGAATTATACCGTTGATCATGTTGACTCTTGCATGAACCACATTCCCAGTTTATAATTTGAGTCGACATGTCACGTGATGTTGTCATCAACTTGCTAGATGTTGGGATAGCTTTATCCCTTTTCAAAGCTCTTTCTCTCATATATTCGGTGCCCAATAAGATAATGTGTGAATATTCTGTTCTGATACCATGATAGAATTAGAGCACCAACTCAAAATAGTAGGCCAAAACACGATGAGATGACAAGGAAGAGTTGCCATGCATGAGGAATCCTATGGTAATAACAATAGAGTAATGATTAGAGTGTTCATGCATGTCATGAGTTTGTTTGGCTGCATGACGTTAGTTGGCGAAACACTTGGTAGAATGGATCATAAGAGTAGTAGCCAACCCTCCTTTTTTAGCATAGTTGATACCGTTTTAGGCTTATATGGGGTGAAATGACTTGACTGACTTTGTATGGTCTATTTTCATTCATTGGATTTGCATGAAGTCTTTCGTGGTTTTAGGTTGCTCGGGCTTGTTTAGCCATCTTGAACTTAAAAAAACAGTTAGTATGTAATTAACCCGTAATAAGTATTATATGATATATGGTTTGACCATGATCAAATCTGTGATCCTTTTCCTTGTTCGATATATGACGGCCAATCTAATTGTCAAAACATTTTGGACTATCATCACTCCATGGCTAATGACCATGTTACAAGGACTTAAACATGAACTCTTACTGTAGAAAGGAGAAAGATGTAGTTCAATTCTATGAAGGGCAGAGGTATGTCCTAATTGAAAACTGAAACATATACAGAGTTAGAAGCATATCCCTAAGAAATCTTATCTAGGAATACTAACTTGTAGCGTATTTCTCTTCCTAATTTTAGAAGCGATTCCATGGTCGAATTCCACCATCCGTTGATAGAAAACAAAAAAAAATCTAGGAATACCAAAAGATTAAAGGCCACTTTTTAGTTTCTCATACTAGGTGATTAAAAAAAAGGGGGCATTAAAATTTTCATCGTTGAATAAGATGATGTTATTTTTATGAAAATGGATAAACTGGTGTGAGGTTGGACTTTGATTTTGGTAATTTGTTTTAGAATTATTATGAAAAATACGCATAGACATGTGTATATGAATAATAATATACATAAACAAAGATCAAAACTAAAATCTAACATAACATCAGTGTTTAATAAAAAAAATTAATCTAATCTAAAGATGAAAATATAATTTTATATAGAACAAATTATATAATTGTTATATATTTTTAAAATTTTGTTCATTATATCAAATGAACGAACTAGTAGTGGTACTGAAAGAGGTGAGAGCGTTAACCAAGGTGGTTGGTGTGAGTGGTTCGGCACTCTCATTCCTTAAGAGAGGTCAGGGGTTCGATCCCTGCTCTCGTACGAAGTCACCACTTTGGCCAACACTTTACCCCTTACGGGCCGATCCGGTGTGAGTGGGGATTAGTCTGGGTTGTGGTTAAGGCTTAAAGGTGCCACCCATAGTTGGGGCCTATCCAGGACCACCTCATGGTTCAGACCAAAAAAAAAAAAAGAGGTGAGAGGGTTAAGATTGTTGGTAGCTACCGAAGAATATGAATATCCTAATTGATGGCAAAGTAGATTAGAGGAAGGTTTTAAAACCATTCAAAACCTCAATAAATATGTAAACAAATGATAATTCAGTGGCATAGAGTTAGAGTCCTAGGTTGACCTCATGCGTCGTAGTTTTCCATAAGGAGAGACTAAACTGGTGAAAGAGTTTAATGCTTGGCTTCCACTAATTGAAGTAAAAAAGAATAAAATTTTGACATTTTTTCAAAGAAAAAACTTATTTCCGTTCTACTCACTTGGTCAGGCCAAATTAGGAATTCCAAAATTAATATCCAAACACTTGTTGATTTGGATCAAATCCATCAAGAGACTTATACGTCAGAAAAAGAGAGCTCATGGGGCCAGCGCAGATGGTAACTTAGGTTAGGTAGGGGTAGGACACCATGGAGCATCCAAAGAAACCAAAACATCTTGCTTACCATGTTTCCACTTGGACAACAATCCTTAGTACGCCACTGATCTACATATATAGCACATGTTCCACATACCGATAAATACGATTTAACTTTCAAAACACATCAACATCTTTATATTATATGAAAAAAAAAATAAGAGAGAAGGCACTTCAACAATCCTAATTGGGACCTTGCTATTACCAGGCAAGAATATCGTCCCTCAATCTGATACCACTCAAGTGTCTCAAGCCAACTATCCACTCTGATACCACTTATTAAGGCCCACATCCTCTTAGCTCGTTGCTAATGGTGTAATTGCATCAATATTGTTCTAAACTTAACCACCTAGATCTATCTATGATTGATCATGTCCATGAATTCATCCAGGTATGAGATTTTATCTCAAAAAGCCTTAGTACAATTTAGGGAGAGCTACCTTTTATGTTGCTACAATATCTTGAGACATACACAACTTGAAGGACTTGCACAACTCTTAGCACTGGGGCTTTGCAAGCTACACTAGAGGTAGACATTGTTCTTTACTCCCATGCACACCATAAAAGAGGATCATACCCTATACAATTCCACGGTCACGATGTATTGTGCTTCGTTCAGTTGAGCCATCAAATTCGAATCCACTTGTTATCTGCTTATGTGTCCCAAATTTTACCTTGCACCCTAATTCAACTACCATGTAGAGTTCAGGTACTATTAAGAGTCACACATCGAAGAAGGGAAGCTTAGTTTAAGAATTTAAAAGATCTTGGACCTGTTCACTTCAACTATTGTCAATTGGTTTTGAGTTGGATGCTTGCATTATAATATGTTATAAGATAGTATAAGATAGTATAGCTTTATTGAGGAAATTACCATTTAGTGGTAGATTGATGATTGTGGAATATAAAGTGATAGAATCCAATTGTAATGTGATCCCTATCATAATATGCATTCAATACCTCAAAAAGGTCGTTTTTCTTTGTGTCAATTTTAGGCTTTCATATAACTTGGGAGTGAAGGGTTGCGAGATAGATGTCAAGAAAGAGACGGAAGCCTTTTTCTTATGAACACAACACTGCACCTATGTAGGCACCTGCTTATTGAGACACTCGTGAAGGGAAGGGTTTAATATAGATTTGAAAACCGAGAGAGAGAGCTAGGTAGCAGCCCTCTGTTTTTGTTTGCATAAAGTTTGATAAGACTGGTAGGGCAAGTTTAACTTCATGTGAAACAGCGTACAACTAGAAAATAAAAAGAGCTCACATGAGAAGAATGTGTACCAAAAGACTAGTTAATGGAGGAATTTATAAAAAAATGTAGTGAAAAGGACAAACGCATATTGTTAAGACACTCATTTCCTCTTATCCACTCTTTTTATTTATTTACGAAATCTCTGTCCCAACCTAGGAATACGCTAAAATTGACTTTTGTAGATTCCCTCAACTCGTGGAGCTCAACACCCTCCACAAAGAAAAAGAAACCTCATTCTTTTTGACATGTTAGTTGCATTCTCTCTCTCTCTCTCTCTCTCTCTCTCTCTCTTAGAATTTAGTTTCACTCTCTCTCGCTCCTTCTCATACATATTAAACACATTCATTTCCAAGATATTGCCTTTCGAAAAATCTATATTCTGCTTTCTAAGACTCATCAAATTACCAAGTATGATACGCATGCGCACACCAAAATAAAAGGGAATAAGGTGCAAAATGAGATAGACAAGCAATGTCTCTAACACCACCAATCAAAAAACATAGAGTAAAATCACGATAAGTCATGTTTGTAATATCAAGCTAGCTGATTTTGTAAAAAGTCATCAATCATCATTTAGAGATTTTAAGTGGCTAAATTAGAAGAGAATATCCACATATTTATCGTGAAGATTCGTGGTCGGACAATGCTTTCATACAATAAGTGATTTCATAGCCCAAATAACGCTTGGAATTTGGACTCTCGTGAAGTAATTTGGAGAGTTTGAAAATTAGCGCATTTGAATCAAGTGAAGTTAGCTCACTTTCCCATATTGTAAAGATAAGAAACTTATCTAGAGCTTAGAAAATGTTGGGCTACTCCCCATTATTTACTCACGTATGAAGCCCAACAGCCCACATGCTCCACATCACCTAATATCTAATATGTGTTGGGTTGGAACATCATCCTCATTCAGTAAGGAATGGCTCCAAGCTCACCAAGTTGAGATTGTGGGGAAGTGTGCTATAGAGTTTGAATAGTAATGGCTCCAAGCTCACCAAGTTGAGATTGTGGGGAAGTGTGCTTTAGAGTAGAATCACGTTCGTAAATTCAACGTTCTCTCTGTCATTCCTACTTTATAGCATTTGTGACTTGGAAAATAACGTTTCCGTTGACCCTTCATAATGCAATTCAGAGGTAAATCAAATAATGCCAAATAACTTTTGGCATGCCACTTACTCTTAATCCCCAAATTCTGAATTTCTTAATTTACTTTAAGTACTGTAGCAATGGATGCTATTTCTATTCTATTTATGTTTTAGATGAATTAAATTCATTCAAATGGCATCTTGTCTTTTTAGATGTATGTATGTCATGAATGGTTACAACTTTCATTTTGATGCACAAAATAACCTTTGCTTATGAACCTTTTTGGCTTATGATCAATTGCTTCAGTTTAGGAAAGGTTCTTGAGCGTTACCAGATACATAATGATGAAGAAAATGCTGCTCCCAAGAGTGTTGGTGGTACTGGCAAGGTTAGTCAAACCTTTTGACCTACACAGTCATCTTTATTTTGCTTTTTTTTTCTTTTTTTTTCTTTTTTTTATTGATCACAACGGCAGTCCTTGCCTCTACTCAAAACCGTCTCCATCCTTGTCTATTGAAACTTTAGGATCTAAGACAGCCCGTAGGATAAAAGGGATCAAACCCATCCTTTTCTTTTTTGTCACGAAACTCATACTCTACTCTGATCTTTTAACATTTTCCCACTTCTCGATCACCATCTGAGGTAGCCCCAGAGGCTTCCATTAATAAGTACTATTTTCAACGTTGTGTTGAAATTGAGATTATAGACTGGATTGGCCTATATCTTAATCCACCAAAGTCATATATCGAGTTCCCTAATAATACATTTTTGTGCAACCACCATTCCTATTTGACATAAAAAGATTCCACGATCCCCAGCTGAACTTATTTGGATAGCCGGATTTTCCGATGAAGAATGTACTTTTGATATACATTGTTGGTACGCTTTCTTTGAGCTTAAGCTGTTGATCCACTTCCCATGAGCTTCAGCTTTTGGGATTGGTGGCATCTACATTGTATCACAAACCACAATACAAGTGGTCCTATACAGAAGTATGATAAGAATACAATGTAATCAGATAACGAAGAGAAATCCCACATGGGATAAGCATAGACCCGAGATAGAGTCCTGAGTACAATAGTCATCTAATACCCTAGTCCCCACTTTGTTATTTGTAAGGTGAATAGGGTGCTTGACCTATGTGTTATATATCTCTCCAAGTGCAGGATTGAGCTGCACGTGTGGGAGTTTGTAAGTCACTTGACAATTGTATTTGATCCACAGAGTCTAATGCACCTGCCATAGGTTAAAGGATAAAAATGGATATTGAAAACAAAAAAGAGAGCAGAAAAATGGATATTGGCATTGCAGATGAATGATGATGAAAATGTTAAAAGGACACACACTATCTCTTTTCCAGTGCAGTTATTGAAATGAAAGTCATACCAATATACTGTATTTGCTAGTACCCCATGTTTTATTTTCCCTATATTCTCTGGATAAGAAGAGGTTTATCATCTATAACATGGTCTTTTCTCACTCTTTTAATCTCGGGTGCAGAAGAATCCTTCAGAATGGAGTGGTCTCTGCGCAGGCCCTAACCGGTCACTGAAAACGATTCAAAGGTATGGTACATGTGCAGACATTTCATTTTGTTCATCCACATGACTTGGATTTGGTTTTTGAGTTTGTGTTTGTGTTTGCAGTGAGTTGGAAGCACAAAACATTGAAAATCTGGATGTGACAGAGCTCACCCAACTTGAGAAGCAATTGGATACACTATTAAGACAAACAAGATCAAGAAAGGTTGCTAATCGTTTTTTTTTAATTATCAGACCCTCATTAATTAAACTAGCATATATTCTGGTTTATGGTGACATCTCATTGAAAAGAACTAGGTTTTATGGTTTCACTTTGACTGGTTACAAGGGCTCTTCCCAATAAGTGAAGTACCTATTTTTGGGATCTAAACCCGCATAAATAGTTTCTTCTTCTAGCTAGAATCACATTGATGATCAGTAAAGTTCCAAATGCGTGTTCTGTATGCTTTTGTCCTCAAGTTTTGGAGTTGGTAGATCCTGTGAACAGAGTATTAATTCCTGCACGTTCTGTATTTAATTTTAGAATATATATATATATATATATATATATATATATATATATATATATATATATATATATATATATATATATATATATATATATATATATATATATATATATATATATATATATATATATATATATATATATATATATATATATATATATATATATATATATATATATATATATATATATATATATATATATATATATATATATATATATATATATATATATATAATTCATCCCTGAAATTTGAAATTTCATGTGAAAGAGCATCAATAAGCATCAATGGCTTATGACAGAATTGATAATTGGAGATAAGGTTCTTCCAAAGAAACACCAAAAGTTTAGCAACTTTTTACTCTTGAACTATTAACAATATGGAATGAAGGCTCAGTTATTTGATAAATGGAGAAAGGATTATCTCTTCTTATTCTTCTTTTTCAGCACATAATAAGTGTATACTCTAAATTCTCAATAACTGGTAAGAGTAAAAAGTTGGCAATTTGGGTCTGTGGCATGCAATTTCCTTGTAGACTAAATTTGTGGTGGTTGTTTTATGGTAAGAGTTTGAGATACTGCTAATTACACGGTTACACTAGACTGACTCGAGTATTAAATTAATGAATGCAGACACAGCTGATGATGGACAGCCTAACAGCTCTTATTGAGAAGGTAATCTCTCATGTTCTTAATTACACTCGAACTCCATTTAATTTGCATTAGAGTAAATTAAATTGTTATCTGCCAATTATGTATTCAATTCAACTGTGCATATGAGCAGAAACTGAGTGATTTCTTAGAATTGAAGGAAGAGTGTTGTTTGTTGTCATCAAGTAGCAGAATGGTTGGTGTTTAATTGCTTGCAATATCTGATTTCTTCATAGGGTTTTTGTGGAGTCTCCTGGCAGGGGAATTTGTGTTTTTGGCTTTTGTTTTCTGGATGAATTAAATGTTTAAGCAGAAAAGCATGGTTTTGGTTCTCAGTAATGTGGTTCTTTTTGTATTTCTCAGCTATTATTTTATGTAGGGTTAACTTATGTTGGTTGAGTTGAGAGTGGTAACCAAGGGAGAAACTAATTTGTATTTGTTAACTCTAATGAACAGGAAAAACAACTGCAGGAAGAGAAGCTTCTGATGGAAAAGGAGGTATATATTGTATAATAATATACTAGAAATTGAGAGAGAGAGAGAGAGAAAAAACAAGTTAAATACACAACTCACCGGGACTTGATGGTGTATGTATGTAATTTACGTGAGAAGGTGCTTAAAATTTTGGTGGGTTTCAGATTGCAGAGCTGAAGGAGCGGAAGAACAAGGAACAAGCTGAGGAAGCGGATCAGCAGAGTTGTTCTGCTAACAACAACAACAACAGCGATGACAATGCTCCTCCCAGACAGACGATGCTCCATTTGTTCTGAATTTTCTAAGGGGAGGGGGAAAAATGTGGCAACACCTCCAGTTGCCACGCCTAAGCTCGAGTGGACATTTGTCTCGAGATTGTCCGGTCCGATAGGCCAATTGCAGGGCTCAGTGGCTCAGTTTGTATGTTTGTATCATATAGGTGTGATTTGTATGAGTTGAATTTGTAGGCCACCGCCGTGTAATAATAATATGTATGTATCATATCATATATATCACCGTCGCTATAATTAACTAGTTTTTCTTCTTTCTCTTCTGTTTTTTCCAAATATAATTATATATATATATATATTTTATACTTTTGACTGAGCAGCTGAGCTGAGCCTATAAGTAGCGAACCGTACTGCTTATATCATAATAAAAGGGCAACTGGACGGGACCACTATGTGAATAGTGTGTATCTAGTGTACTATGATTATGATGGATTGATGGTTTCTCGATCCGGCAGCTCAGGTTTCATCCTTTATTTATACACAAGGACAAGACAAGTACGTATTTATCTATTTCCTTCATCATCGGAACTTCCTATGAAAGTGACCCTTGGGAAAAGAGAAACAAGTTTTTCTCATTTTCAATTACATTATGTAAAAAATGAAAACAAATCAAACAAATGGAGTTTTTTTCTCTGCACTCTGGGTTGTTGAAAGCAAAGAAACATTTGATTTCAATGGATTTAGAAAAATAATACAAGAGAGAGTGTAGAGAAGATGAAGAATCCAGTGGCAGATGTAGAATTTCATGATTCGAGGTCGGCTTATATGTATGTGTGTGTGTGTATATATATATATCTAGCTGCTTGCAAATGCAATTGCATCTCTTCTAGTTTCATTCATTTCTATAATTTCTTCTTATTTATTTCTCTTATACAATACAAGCAATGAATGTACGTGTGAAATTAACAAAGCAAGAAGTGAAAACCGTTTAGGCGACCAATGACCAACAATTTCTCTCTCCCGCGTCAAGTTGTAGAGAGCGTTTTCCCCAAGTTTTGTGCTGGAATTTGGTTCTCCGTCCCTCAGTCTTCTTGAGGTCTGTATGGTGTCTTTTTGGGCTCTGTTTTAGGGATCTTTGTAGATCAGCCACTCTTGGCGTCTCAATTTGCAGGTTGGTTTTGATATGCTATTGATCTCTGTGTGTCTTTGGAGGTGGAGTTGATAGATCTTGATGGATCTGCATTTAATGGATGTTGTGCGATCATGTGGGGTGCTGAAGGCACTATGGTCTTCTATGGCCAGTTGATTGTTGAGCGGCAATGCCCTTTTAACTTCTTCGTGTTTCTAGGCCCTAGCTAGCTACTGCAAAGTTTTCTCTATCCTGGTCTCTGTGAAACACTGAGGGGGGGTTTTCTAGATCATCTCTCATTCAACTCTCAGTGAGCTGCACTTTAACGTGGGATTTTGTTTCCTCACTATCTTGCCGGCTGCTTTTCCAGTTTTTTTCTAATATTTAATGCAAGAACCTCGTTTGGTGTGTGTTATTGTCAAATTCTTTTGTTTTACCCATGTTATTAATGAATTTCTATTCTTTTAAAACAAAAAACAAAAAAAAAGACTAACAATATAATATAATAATGTATACAAACGAGGAAATTTATTCCCCAAATGATGATGGTATCAAAGAGTAAGAAACCTATGTTATTAAGATGTATGTTTTGAGGCTTTCATTTGCAAGTAACTGCTTAAAACATACACAGATATCATCATCCTCTCCTGTCATAGTATATTATATTGTATCATTCAATCTAAAATTCAATTGTTATGTTACTATATAAGTTTAGGGAAATCCCAACTCTGAAGCTGCCAATCACTGAGCTATATAAAACTAAATTCAAATATGATTTAGTCTATCTTTTACTAGGAAAATACAGTTTTTCGCTGATACTCATTTCATGAAGATGCTTCTTAATTATAATTGTCATCATCCATAAAACAGACTCTAAAGAAGAGTTCATACAAAGTATTTGAGGAAAAAAAGATGCTGCTGAAATTAAACACACTGACTGAACTCAGAAATGACAAAACAATTGATGTATCCCTGAGAAAATCGAATATATAAATAATTATAGCTTGCTCCTAGCCGGTGTAGATGTGAACACCAATTGCAATGAGGAAAATGGTGACGAGGCCAAAGTAAATGATGGTATGGACCAAGATGGAAACCCCACTGGTCTGCATGTTGTTAAACTCCACCACTCTGCTATTCCCAGGCAGCTGAAACAACAGCCCCGGCGTCAACAGCACAAACAGCACCACTGCTATCACCACCGGACCCCAATCCGCCATTTTCTACCACCCTTCCCTCACAATTTAATGAACAGGGAGCTACGAGATTACCATTCAGTTATCAAGTTAGGAGATGATATGAGAGTAGGGTAGTAGACTTGCTACAACCTAGTAGCAGTGGAGTGTAGAAATAGAAATGAAAGGTCAACAAGAAGGAAGCACCATAAAAAGAGTGAATGGAGGCGAAAAGAGCCAAAATGGGAATTGATGGAGACAAAGAGCCACAAGCTCCGCGACGAAGCAAAGGGTTACAAACTAAGTAATCAGCAGACGGTAATATCTTTGGAGCTTGGACTGTACGGCCTCTCATTTACCTCATTGGACGGCCATCACCTCTAACTGGCATCTCTCTTTTGTTTCGACCTTGGAATTGGACGGCAATAATTTGAACTTGGACATTCTGGAAAGCCCAAATATACAATGCTTCAACTTAATTTTGGTTTGGGCCCAAAAAACTTATCAGTCAATTCTTGGTAGCACAGCAGACATGTCTGCATTATCGTTTCCTCGTGTTTCAACTTTTGGGTAGTCCCTGCATTTCTTAATGCATGCTTCTTTAGCTTTTTCTTGTAGAAACAGGCCAAAAAAACACTGCCTTTTTTTTCCCTGTTGAAAGTTAAACCAAACATGCATAAGCTAACCACAACTTTACACTTCATTTTGCTACATTATTTTACAATATTTCTGTAAAGAAGACTCCACCTTCATCAATCTTCAGAGAAAGCAAAAAGAGCCCATGCTAAATGAACAATTATTGGAAGCTTATGAAAGCAAAGAACTTTGTTACCATCTCCATAAAGCAAACCCACCACCTCCTCCTAATACCTTTCCTCTCTTTTATCCCACTGTCTTCTTTCTCACTAAGTTTAGCATCCTTGTCTCCTTCTTCACTAAGATAATAGGATCCATCCTTCTACATATTAAGAAACATCATAACAGTCTGTTTATCTATTTCAAGGGAAGTCTCAAGTTTCCATACCTCAATTCCATTTTGGAGAGAGAGAGACAGAGACAGAGACAGAGACAGAGACAGAGACAGACGGACGGAGACAGAGACATAGAGAGATGGGTGCTGATTGGGGACCAGTCATTGTTGCCGTGGTCTTGTTCATCCTCCTTTCGCCAGGGCTGCTATTCCAATTACCGGCAAGAACTAGGGTAATGGAGTTCGGAAACATGATGACAAGTGGGATTGCTATTCTGGTTCATGCTGTCATATACTTCTGCATACTGACCATCTTGATCATAGCAATTGGTATTCACATACATGTCAACTAATCCATATCATTTTCAGCCACCACCCACAGTGGTGTTTGTTCTTTTCTTTTAATTTTTTTCTGAAGTGATTCTTCCTCTTTCTACTACCGTGCTCCTTCTTTAATGTTGTCCTGCTACCTGATTGGTTTAGTTCACTTCACACTCGGCATTGACACATTGTAAAGGAGCATCTCAATGAATTGGTTCATAGCATCAATCAGGCTCAACAACGCAAGGTTGTTCCATATTAAGTTTGATCTGACTAAGTTTCCAATCTATATTGTTTAAGTTTTATAGTAACAGCTACACAGAAAGATCTATCTGTAATAAACCTACTTTTATGGAGTTGCTTACCATTTAACACGAAGCATTGTCATCCAAGCATGTGTAAGAACCTAAGGGGCAAAATATCTAGACAAAGATCTATCTTTTATATGGGTATTGTGAAACCATGCACTTAGAGGGCACATATCCTATACTGGAATTTTGCATATCAACTATTAGCAAAATGATTTCCTACACCGATAACCACAGACATTCATAACCAACTAAAAGAATAACAATAGAAATACCTACGCATCTCTAAAATTGTCTCTAATTCAAAGTTCAGACCACTTCTCAAATATAATATGAATATCTAACAAATAAGATCAACAAAAATAGATTAAAGAGCAGTTAAGATGGTCTTGAGACCACATGATAGAGGTGGATATACTCATTCTACATTTCTAGGCCTTCCCCTATGTGGCAAAAGAGGTTTCCACTTATTCACCAAGAAAAATGAAAAAGAACAGAAAGTGATTTCAAGTTGAGGCCACCTTGAGCCATGAAGCATGAGCCTTGAGCTCAACAAACACCCAAAAAACCCCGACTTCACGACCTCTTTGGCTTTTTTATCATTTTTTTCCCATAGTATTTAGAAAGGAGCTTAAGCTCAGCAGTGGATCTTGAAGACTCCTACTCCAAGAGGAATATATTGCACCAGAGATCCAATGGAATGATTAAAATCTATGTACATGTAGAATAAACTAGAATCAATTTATGCCGGTTTCTCAAATCCAAGACTATAACAAAATGGAAAACATCAGGGACTATAAACAAGCAGCTTCATCTTCTTCAAATCAATTAAAGATTTGTGCTTTATATTAATAATTAAGTTCAAAAACAAGTACAGCCATTAAGTTACAAGTTACTCAGAAAAGAGACAGAGTGTACACAGATCCAAAGCGGCGAGAGTACTGGATCAGCCAGTGTAGATGTGGACGTGGACGGCCAAGATGAGAATGGCATAGAGAGCGAAAAAGATGAGAGTGTGCACAGCTATGGCCTTGCCATTCGTCTTCATGCTCCCAAACTCCACCTGCCTGCTGTTTCCCGGTAACGAGAAGAGAAGTCCCGGTTGCAGCAGAATGAACAGCACCACCCCAATCAATATGGGCCCCCAGTCCGCCATTATTATTTCCTACAAATTGATTTTCAAATGAAATTTCGGATTTTTGGATGAGGGTTTCTGGGTTAGGGCCTAAAGTTACTAGCTTTCCTTCGTCGGACGCAATGGGGATGAAGACGGAAGTGAAAGGATTTTGATTTGCTTATTTTATTAGGGTTTTCTGAGTGAGAGTAACACTTAGATTCTGGAATTCCAATTTTGCAATTCTAATAAGCAAAGCAACCATGACGAACGGCAGAAGAAGCTACTAGCAAGCAAGTGAAGATTTGGCTTCTCTGCTTTGGGTTACAGATTAGATCAGTGCAGTTGGGTCCACTGTCTACCCTAGAATAAACGAATAAGTGCAATTGGGTCCCACCCACTAGCTCAAAGTTTTTTCCTTTGTTATTCTTTTCCTCTTTGACTATTGAAGATAAAGCTTGATCCTTTAGTGGCAGAATCGAATTGAATAGACCTGGCGGTGCTGAAATGGACAGTGATTGGAGCTTTTAACAGCCAACTCTTCCCTTTAATGCTAAATGGAACTGCTATTGTTGATTGCAAACAAAACAACACAATAATGCAATTTATATGACTGGCTGGCTGCACTCACTGCTTATGTTATGTTATGAGATATGTATGTATGGTCTCTTGACAACAATTGAACAATAGAAAATGAAAAGGATGCTCTGCCTTATCCAATAAATCCAACCAAGCAACAACAACAGCTGTTATAACAAGAATTGAAAATTGAAGCAAGGGCTAAAGTGGATGGTTGATAAATACTTATGTTCTTTCCAGCTTTATGAGATTCCCATTCCCCTCTTTCAAGGGCTTAAATCCAAATCATATAGCATCCAAAGCCCTTTTTTATGTGCTCTCTCTATTATTCTTCTGCTGAGTCTTGAGCCCTGAGCTGATCAAAGAAGGCTAGGCAGGAAATCTCGGGACAGAGGCTTTATTTAGAATGAAGAATTGGGCTGCTCCTCTCATAGCTTCAGGGCTGTTTGCATTTTTGTCACCAGGGTTGGTGTTTCAGATGCCTGGCAAGGAACGTCCCTTCGAATTTATGAACATGAAGACCAGCGTGGCCTCCATATTCTTGCACGCTGTTATCTACGGTTTGCTCATCATTCTGTTTCTTGTTATTCTTGACATTCACATCTATGCTTAGGAAGCAGCTGCCATCTCAATTGTCATTTTCTCAAAGAAAAGAAAAGGTGTGGTTTTTAGGATTCTAGCAGACCAGTTTAGTGCTTTTACGTGAAAGAAGGATTTGGTTCTGTTGTTTTACTCTTTTCATTTACTACCACTGGTGCTGTTGTGCTACTTGTATGTATTATTACCTTCATGAATTCTCCTTTGTGCAATGAAAAAACTATAATTGATGCAGCCTTGACAATCTTTCTTATTTTCTAGGGTATCTACTATGCTTGCATTTCATTTACAAGCCAAATCACTCATAGCATAGGAGAGAAGATATTTGTTTTGCTTTCCTTTGGGATGGCAACTTGAATTGCAATATGCAGGAAAACAAGCAGAACTTGTGCTGTGGTCCTGCTCATGGCATGCTAGCTTCCCAATTTGCTACCATAAGTCAATAATCGGCGTAAAAGTACTTCTTTGAAGACGAAATATAGCTTAACAAGGATCTAACACCACAAAAACATATGAACTTGACATGGAACAGAGAGTCAACCAGATTTTTTTGGACTTTCTTTCTTTTTTCTTTCATTAGTCAATGAATTTAGGTGATCCCCATTAAAGCTTTACAGTTTAGCAAGAAACGCCTCGTAGGAGCATGGTGACTACTTGTGCATCATGAAATTACCAAAAGAATATCCAGTTACTATATGAAACTCCACCATCCAGCAAAACTCAAAATCAAAGAAAAACAATGTGGGACCAAGAGAACAGAATATTTTACCTTAGCATCTGATCTGACTAAATCAATCATGTAAGAATGCACAATCCAAACTAGCCAATTAAGTACATAACTGATCATCAACCTGAAACGTAAATGAGATAAATTCTTAAAGGGTATTACATAGTAGAGTTGAGATGAGAATTGGGTGTGTTATCTGTGGCAGTTTGAGTTGATCATGAGCCAACATACATGTGGACACCAATAGCTAATAAGAAGATGCAGATGAGAGCAAAGTAGATAATGGAATGAACCAGTATGGAGATTCCACTAGTCTGAAAGTTGCCAAACTCTACGAATCGGCTTTTTCCAGGCATCTGAATCAGCAACCCTGGAGTGAGCAGTATAAACAGCACCACTGCTACGAAAACCGACCCCCAATCCGACATCTTCGATGTGGTTCTTGCACTTGATCTCTTTGATCCCTCTCTGCGAATGAGTTGTATAAATTAGTGACTGGTAAGTGGGAGAAGGAATGAGGATTGGTTGGTATGGGGAGGAAAGAAGGATGAAAGATGTGCATGATTATAAAGTTGAGCTTTGGGAGGAAGAGACAAGGGATAGATGACTAGGAAAAAAAAGTGAAGGTTAGAGGATCAAGCTATTCCCTTCCCATATGTTCACATTTTAGTATTTTGGTAGTTACAGCTCACATCACATGCATCCCAAGGAAGTTTCCCACATAACAGTCAACCCGTACAAACACTTTGAATTGCCAAACTGTAAATCTGCCTCCTGCGCTATAGAGGGTAAGTTGGGTAACCATCCAATGACTTTCCCTTCACTCAGTTTCTGATATCCATCTACTTCTAACTTCTGTGCATCACATGTTATAGAAACCAGCTGAGCTGCACAAGTTAAAAAAACAAAAACAAAAAATAACCAAGAAACTGAGCCCAAAGGGGGGGCCAACCCAACAACCAAACTGCAAAACTCAAGAAGAGAAGAGCAGAATGGGCCGCTACATGATCCAGTCCACGAAAGCAAAAGAGCTTCGATTCGATTAATTAAAATAAAAAAACATGAAAAACGATCGTCGACAGCAGGGTTCGAACCTGCGCGGGCGAAGCCCAACAGATTTCAAGTCTGTCTCCTTAACCACTCGGACATATCGACTTTGATGTTATGTTGAGCGTAGATAGTATTATTTAAACAAATCTCTCCCTTTATTAATATGAAATAATCTTTTGTGTTTTGCTAATTGATTCGTGTCTCATTCAAATTATACTATTTTGGTCCATTTAACTTTGCCCTTTTCGTTTTAGCGCGGATTTTGTCTTGGGCTTTTGTGATTAGTACTTTAGATGTTGAAGTTTCGCTTTTATTTTAGAAAAACTCTACCCCTTTCTTTTTACTATCAAATTACCTTGGTGTTTTGATAAGTGTCTCTTCTAAAATCCAAGTTTTTCCGGTTTCGTGTGCTCGTCACCACCACGTTATCCCCGTTATATGAGTTTGATTTAATTTACCCATTTCATTAATTTCAAAACCTAAATTTATCCAACAGTGAAGTAAGCTGTGAGAAAAATGAACCCAGACGTATAAAATGTCTTGCAATTTGCAAACCAACTCATTGCATATGCCCATTGCCTACTACTATAGTCATGTGACGTTTCAAGCTAAGGAAGGGGGTATTTTTATTTGTGTTCCCTACTCAATACTCAATACCCAGAGTCTTTGTTCGGTGTGTCCGGTCCAACAAAATGCTGCGTATATTGATTGATATATGAAGAAAAACGACAACTACTGATATCGGATATATTATATTCTGTATTACCTACCGATCAAGCCGAAAAATAATTATATATGGGGAAGCATAATTATTGAGAAAACGACATGATCTATGTCCACCGACCGCATGTTCCGCTTGACCTTTTTTTCGTGTAGTTATTCCTAAAACAACTTCACACGAGGCTGCTCATTAGTTTTATTTTTATTTTTATATAAAACAATCGGATTCATAAAATATATTTTCAAATGAATCCAAACTGACGTTAGATTCTTTTAAATAAACAAATTGAAATTAGATTGCTCTTTTGCAAAAAATTTGAAAAATAATAACTGAAACATCAAAAAGTTGTCATGAAATCGAGTACAATGAATCACACCGACTCCGCACATGAATTCGGAGATTTTCATATAGAAATCTTTTTTGAGATTTAGTTTTTTTTTTTAATTTTTATATAAAACAATCGGATTCATAAAATATATTTTCAAATGAATCCAAACTGACGTTAGGTTCTTTTAAATAAACAAATTGAAATTAGATTTGCTCTTTTGCAAAAAATTTGAAAAATAATAACTGAAACATCAAAAAGTTGTCATGAAATCGAGTACAATGAATCACACTGACTCTGCACATGAATTCGGAGATTTTCATATAGAAATCTTTTTTGAGACAAGGCGATAGAAAAAAGACATTTCAAGTAGTTTAGTAATATTTGGCACATACGATATTTTACCTTTAAAAAAATCTGTGTTGGATTATTGGATTAATTTCGTATAATTAGCTATTCATTAAAAATAAATCAAAATTGTGCAAAAAAAGAGGACGAGAATCAATCAAATTAATCTTTCATTTGTAGCAATGATTTGGGTTTGGGTTCAAACAGATATAATGCCAAAGCATTTTTCTCTTTGTCTTCATCAAGTATGATATTGGTATAAATTGGTCGTCGGATTGCCAAAATTGCCTGTACAAGTGGTGGGCTCAAAATGTCTCAGTCGGAGTCGGGTAAATGATGCAACTCTAGGGTACAAAAACAAGTGGCCTGAAAAAACAGAGCATTGATATTATTGATCCAAAAGAAGAAAGAAAAAGCAAGTGGACCGACAAATAAAAAACATAAGAGAAACAAGGCATGACTTTCTTCTTTCACCAAGAAAAAGCTTCGAAAAAGATACGATTTTTGTAGTAAGGCGGCCATTGCCGTGCTTGTAAGTTGTAAGTTGTATTATTTCTTGTGGCGTTATTTGGAGATTGACAGACTCACAGTCAGTCACAAACAAGTGTGTGTATGCGTCAGTGCCATATCCGTAAATATTGCAAATATCAAATGCTTTATTATTTAAATCATGTCGTGCCTAAACAAAATAATATGTCCACTGGTCCACGATCGGTGACCCAATCCCGCACAGCCTCTGGTCCATCGTCATCATCACCACCACCCTATACCTTCCACAGGAGAGAGCAGTCACTGGTGTTGTATATATCTGCTTGCTTCATAATCTTCATACAAATAAAACCCAACAAGTTCAAAGGCAAAAACAAAATTGCCAAAAGTATATATATATATATATTTCTCCAAATTCCAATAGCGCAGACCCAAACAGAGATTGTGGGCAATGATGGGTCGGCTGCAGGAGAAGTTCAGGTCCTTCTTCAGCAACAGATGGCTGGTTTTTGTGGCTGCAATGTGGGTACAATCCTGTGCGGGTATTGGGTACTTGTTTGGGAGCATATCACCGGTGATAAAGAGCTCTATGGACTACAATCAGAGGCAGATTGCTAGGTTGGGTGTGGCTAAGGACCTTGGCGACAGTGTTGGCTTCTTGGCTGGGAGCTTGTGCGAGGTCCTGCCTTTGTGGGCAGCTTTGCTCATTGGTGCTTTGATGAATTTTATTGGGTATGGCTGGGTTTGGCTTATTGTTACTGGTCGAGCTCCTACTCTGTCTTTGTGGGCTGTGAGTATCTAAAGGAGACTTTCTCTCTCTCTCTCTCTCTCTCTCTCTCTCTCTCTCTCTCTCTCTCTCTCTCTCTGTGTTCTTTTCAAGCATTTGATTTTCCTTTTATTGGTGATCTTAAAATAGTACTAGGTTTGGTTATTTGTTGATCTAGTTTGATCGTATATTTTGCCATTGTGGGTTGGTTTTCGATGGTCCTTCTCTTTCTAAACGTTGATTTCTCATCGATTTAATTTGATTTTTCATTCGATTCAAGAATATACTGATTGAACAGTTTGAGGAAGATGCAGGAATGGACGGTTTCTCTGGAAATGGATATTCTTTCTGGTATCTTTGGTTTGAGTTGATGATAAGACAGTTTAATCATTTATGTCCTTAAGAAAGGAGCAATCTTTTGCCTTAAACTGTGCTATTTGTTAGTTTTAAATAAATTTTTAGTCTTCCTTGTTGGCCACATTCGGAAACATCGGATTGAAGAATTGAGTATATACCCTCTGTTTGGATCCTGGAGAGGTAAAGAAAATGGAGAGAATTTTCAGAATTGCTATAGATATCAGGGTCCCTGAAGGCTAGAGTCGGCATTTCTGCAATTTTCAAGATCCTCTAAAAAATTTGCTTAAATGGATTTTAAATTTGATATGACAGACAAAATATATGGTCATCCTGCTAGAGTTCAATAGTGGTTTTTATGTTTGTTTTAAAAAAAAATCTTCTACTGCGTTAGTAAACCTCGTTCATGATAACTTTTGATAGAGCAACAAAGTTCGTAACAAATTTAGAAACCATTTGAACACACAATATGATTAGCAATTGGCAGGGGGGCCATGCATTCTTTACACAGATTATGAAAATGATTCAATATTTCTTTTTGTCACTTTGCTGTTGTTAAACCGTTGCATTTTTGCAGATGTGCGTTCTTATATTCGTGGGAACAAATGGTGAGACCTTCTTCAATACAGTTGCTCTGGTCTCTTGTGTGCAAAACTTCCCAAAAAGTCGGGGTCCTGTGGTTGGAATTCTGAAGGGCTTTGCTGGGTTGGGTGGTGCAATTATGACTCAGATGTATGTGACGATCCATTCCCCAGATCATGCATCTTTGATTTTCATGGTTGCAGTTGGTCCAACAATGGTGATTGTTGCTTTAATGTTTATTGTCAGACCAGTTGGAGGTCACAGACAAGTCCGGCCAACTGATGCCATGAGCTTCACGTTTATTTATAGTCTGTGCCTCCTATTAGCTGCTTATTTGATGGGGGTCATGCTAGTTGAAGATCTAATTGATTTGAACCACACTGTGATCGCTATATTTACAGTCATTTTGTTTGTCCTCATCCTAATTCCCATTGTGATTCCTGTTCAATTGAGCTTTTTCTCAGAGCCAAGAGCTCTAGAAGAAGAGGCACTCCTACCTGCGTCAGAGAAACAAGAAGCTGGCAAATCTGAACAAGATGCTAATGAGGTAATATTCAGTGAGGTGGAAGATGAGAAGCCTAAGGAAGTAGACTTGCTTCCAGCTTTAGAAAGGCAAAAACGAATTGCCCAATTGCAAACAAAATTATTCCAAGCAGCTGCAGAAGGAGCAGTGAGGATTAAGAGGAGGAGGGGTCCGCATAGAGGGGAGGACTTCACCTTGACACAAGCTTTGATCAAAGCTGACTTTTGGCTTATTTTTTTCTCACTTCTCTTGGGTTCTGGATCTGGTTTGACAGTGATTGATAACCTGGGTCAGATGAGCCAGTCTCTAGGGTATGATAATACACATATTTTTGTATCCATGATCAGCATTTGGAACTTTCTTGGTCGGGTTGGTGGCGGTTACTTCTCTGAGATTATTGTGAGGTATGAACTGCTTACATTATTATCTAGATGTTCTGTAAGCATTACTTAAATTTTGGTTTTGTAACTTCTCATCCATCACTGTACATTCAATAGGGACTATGCTTATCCAAGACCGGTAGCAATGGCTGTGGCACAACTCCTTATGGCAGTTGGGCATATCTTCATTGCTTTTGGATGGCCTGGAGCAAT